GTAATTTGCAAGCTCGTGTCACCCTGGGAACGAGTTATGAGCTATAATGTTGAATAGTTTAAAGAAAAACTGTAAAGTTTTCTGTATTTGTTCAGATTTTGCCATTATGAACTGCAAAAACTAACCTGGTACTGAATTTTCGTGACTAGACCAAAAATGGGGGAGAAAAGGCAAGTACTACACCTAACCTCAATTAATATCTAAACAATAATGCATTTTCTATACGAGGATGGCACTAACCACCCTGAAAATGCCCAGAAGCCCTGGTAGAATGCAAGCGCCAGATAGCCGGGAGATGTATTCGATCCCTCGAAGGCATTGTGAAAACTCTCTACATGACCTAGCAGAAAACATAAGATTGGTTAACGAAATCCGGGGACAGTTAAGGAAGTAAACTATCCAATGATAAAGGGGAGTTCATGAAAATTGACGACACGGATGACCTGGGAGAAAGGAAATTTACCTGTTGCAAGATAGTATATGCCGAACCCGATGATAAGTAACAGAGCAACAATCTTGCCGAAGGAGAATATTACAGCAACTCTCGTAGCCCATTTAACCTTGTAGCAATTTATCGCACAAATTAGCACTAAAACACCATGACATATATATTTCCTCTTACTCAAACCACAGAGGGCGATCATGCTAACAACAGGGACGGGAATCGAGCAATCCGGATAAACTGGTTGCAAAATGTATTCAGCGAAGACGATTGAATTGGCAGCGCAGCTGACACCACCAATGACTACAAAGGTGATCCACATGACAACAAACGCTGGTAGACCACCAAATGCCTCGAGGATATAAGCATATTCACCACCCGACTTTTGAATTCGCACACCCAATTCAGCGTACACTAGGGCACCAAGCATACTGAAGAGACCTGGTACTATCCACATGATTAGCGAAAGGCCCACCGAGTTGGAATACCGCAAAACGCCTACAGGCGACACAAATATACCGGATCCCACAATAACACCGAAGATGATGCTGACTGCCTGCAGTATACCGATCTCTTTCTTCATCTTCACTGCCTCTCGTTCGTCTCCATCGTCAGACGTTGACACCTCAGGCTGCCAAATCTCACCAGCCATTTCCAAACCCACCAATTTCCGCGTGGGTCACTGACACTGATTTATCTGTAAACCCGATTTTATGATTATGATAGCCTGATAAAACAAAATAATCAAGTGCCCTACATTTTACAAATTATGCTTAGAAGAAACGTTTTCACTCTAATAAAATTCAAATTTTTTATATAATACGGTCTAAAATGTTTTAATTTTGGCTACATACTTTAGGGAAGTAAATTTAAAAATTTATTATACTTGTCAACTACGAAGTTACTTATTTCCTTCTTCCACATTATCTAATATATGTTAATGATATGGGCTTTAAAGGTTAAAATCAATGTTGTACGATTGCATTTTGCTTAGAATCAATCATACCTCAACGACAATTATGTTTTGCCTTTTTACTGGCCTGATTGTTATCCGCTAAGAATTTAACGAGTAAAAGCTGCAGGTGAAGGCCCATGCATGAATGATGGAGGAGAGAATCACCCTGCATACCTTTCTAACATGGTATTCGATTTGATTCCACGCGTTCCCCTTATGCGGAAAAAATTACAATTCAAAATATGCGTTTCAATGAGAGCTAACATGTGACACATTGTTGAGTGTGTTTTAGTCTTATTATGCTTGTAATCGCTTCCTTTCGATTATTCGTAATTCATCATTGGTTTTTTTTTCTTGAGAAGCTGTTTGCTTGCAGGTGAGGATTGTTTGGCCTTAGAACTGAGAAAGAAGAGCAACATGGTAACATGGGATGGAGATGCCTGGGGTGAGATGGTAGTAGCGTCATTTGGCTACTCAAGTACAGAGTTTATGCATACTTCCCTCTCCTGTCATGCCGGTATGAAATACCATTTTTGTAATATGTTCCATGAATGCTCCAAAAGATACATTTAGTTAGCTTAATCCAATTAGAGTTTTGTCGGTCTAATCACGCTTATGAATTCTTTTAAAAACACATATATTCGAACAGACAGGATGAAGTGAGATGCTGGCATGTTTTGAAGTTTGGGCATATGGCGTCCCTGACTTCCCATTACGTAGGCGAAGGCATAAGTTTTGCCGAACATTTACATCTATGCAGAAAGGGCAGAAGTTGAGCCGAGGTGTGGCTTTAAGGCCGGCATCTGTCAGAAGCTTAATCACCGCCATGCACCCAAGAGAACAAAGTATTGCAGTCCCATCCAGCTGAAGATTGATGACTGTCAAAGCAATCGCCCCCATGCAGACGGTTGAATAAACAAGTATTACATCGATTTGTTAGAAATAGTTTTTTTGGCTTTTCCCTTATGTAGGACGTCTTCACGAATTACATTAGCTGCACATCCGCTAGCGGACAATCCCATTATCTGCGAAAGGAAGGGATAAGGAGGGGCAAAATGAGTGTCCACATAGGTCTAAAGACGTCAAATGCAGACATTCGTTCATCTTTTTTACCAAAACACCCAATCAGTAGATGGGAACCGCCGCCAACATGAGAACTACATTGGAGAGCGACTCACGGGGCTGTTGGTAGATAGTCAGCACAAGAATGAAGAGGTCGCATCCCAGGAAAAGAATAGGAAAGAAGATAGGCAACTGTGTGGGTAAAATCAAACGGGGAAGCGTCAGGAATGTTCTCGTGTGTGCATTTATTGACAAGATCTCCCGTGCCCTTAAAATCAGCTTCAACGCCAAGGCGACAATAGAAAAAATGATGTAGGAAAGAGTACCTTATTTTGATAGAATTTGGGAAAAAATTACTTAGAAACTGCTTAAAGCGGTACGTAACTTAGGGCATCCTCATTTACAGTACATGCTCTTTTATCGACATAAATGACTGGTGATCATAGTTTGATATTCTTAAATGCATTTCAAAGTGTGTAAGTATCAGCCTTCAATCGTCGAGCACAATGGTTGTCTAACTTAACATGCATCTTCTTTGTTTCACTTTTAATTCGTCGGTTGTGTTGTGCAAGAAAGATACCAGCAACAAGTGGCAGCTGCAACCACAAAGGGAACTTTTGGGATGAAACTTCTTACTGTACATGCATGAAATCCCGACTGTATTGACTCATTATACCTCCACCGCCTCGTCGAAAACAAATAAGTGTGGTTCCGCAGATCTGAAGTGAAAGCGAAGTGGCACGGGAAAGAGGTGTTAAACTCCATTTTTAGGGAAACGCGTCCAATCCTGGTTCTCTGATTCATGACTACAACTTTTAGCCAACCATTTTTTCGAATGGCTATGAACACTTGTGATGCTCATCAAATTCTTAGCCCAAAATTTAGTGAAATTACTGATGTGGGATATCAATGCTTCGAATTGTCATCGCTTAAGTTACACGAAGTCGAGATGGCTGGCATGGATGTCCCGTGGGTGTTTTCGTAGAACACCTATATTTTTGTGATTAGAGATGCGGGCGGTCGATTGTTGGTAGGCTGGAGAAGAAACTCAATGAGGCCGAGTGGCCGCGCAATTAGTCAGTTATTTTCCTGACCCTCTGACTCGATGGAAAGGCCACCTTATGTCCAAATTATGGTGGAGTCGCCAGATGAAATAATCTAGGGGACATGCAAGTAGGTGGATGGAATTCCGCAAATCTACGGGCCACCTTATTTTGCGTTTGGCTCTCCTCATTATTCAATGAAGTTATAGAATATTACGCTAGCTGAATAATAATAGCTTTGAATTCGTGGTTTTGAATACCGTTTCTTTAATTTTGTAAGACAATGCGGCCAGCTTGCTTGGGATATTGGGGTTCGTTGGACATTTTTAAGAACTCTCTCTCTCCCCCCTTCCTCCCTGACAACGTATTTGCTTACCCCACTTGGTTGTTTACTAAAACGCTTGTTGATGATTGACCAATTACTGAAAAACCATAATGCTGCCATCATTTTTGTCTTTCATCTTGGCAGTTGGTTCGCCCAGTTTTGTGCTTATTTTTGACATTCTCACTCCATGTCCTTTCACTCAGCATGACACCATTGAGCAGTTTGAATTTTTATGTTGTCAGATCAATAGCTACTTCCTCTTGAGCTTTTATTCGAGTCACATTGAGGATTATCTACAAAGTTCACTTCCTAATCGTGTGGTTATCAACAGAAAATTATTATTTTACTTGCAGCTAACCTAGCATTTGCTTATTATTTATCGTGGACTTCTGAGCATTGTTTTGATACACATGTTGTTACATTAAAATTTAGTCTGTTTTGTCTATTTCTGCCAACATCATCAGGACTTCCATAATGCTTTAAAATGGCTCAGTAAAGAAGAGTCAATCGGTTCAACTATCTAGCCAACTACGAAATGAGTTCATTGAGGCATTGCTAATGAGAGTTCTGCATCCCAACCCAAAGGTTTCGATTGCGTTCAATCCACCCAAAGGGAGGCGGGTCAATGGATGGTCCAGTCCCGTCTCAGCGTTTTCATTTTCCTTTTGGTCTGCTTCATTGCTACTACTTGTAAATTTCTACGGTATCAAATGGACTAACATCAGCCTAGACTGGATGGGCTCATTTACCTTGGTGCGTTTTGTTTGTTTGCCTGGAAAGTGCAGACATTCCGCTTATTTCTCAGTGCCGCAGAATTTTCCATTTGAAAGCACCGTTGGTTGATGTAACCGACGCAAAGATCGTAATCTGCTTAGTGTTTAATGATGCGTAAGATGTAATAGCTTTACAGAAATGTGCAAATTTGGATTGTCGCTGTGTAAAGGGAGAATCAAAGTGGCATACATCAGTTCCTAGCATTACTGTGGATGAATAAATTTCTAGGCTGTTTCCCTCCGAATTGTTCGGGCCCCAAATTCAAGTGGATGGAAAGACATCACGATTAAATGCGACCTTTCAGTAATTTTGAACTACTTAATCGAAATGACACCTAACATGGGGTACCCCTTGCCACCCATTTGTCACTTTTCTTCCAATCGAATTGGCTTGGGATTGTTTAGACTACTCGCCTTTGCGCGTTCAGAGTCACCCTCTTCCCTAAAGCTCCTTTTAACTCACCTTACTCTCCCTCCCACTACATGTGAAAATCCTTTTCATAACAATGTGATCTATCGCTACCTTATGCTTGCTCTACGCCCATTTTTAAAAGTCTAAATGACATTTTTGCACCTTACAAAAGTTCATCGTCATTGTGCACTTGACCACCTTCGCATTCATCGTGACAACAGCAACGATCGACCCCTCGGAGCGCCTTTTGCGATTGCAGAAGTCCTCTGGCATCCTACCCGAATTCGACCAGGACCAGCATCAACGTGTAATTGAAAACCTTTATTGCAACGTATGCAGAATTAAAGTGTGAGTTTAGCCGAATCTCCTATTTTCTACCTGTTGATTTCAGTGCTTCCTCAGGCGGGCCTCTATCCCGCTTCTGATCACGTTCCAAAATTTTATTTTTGAAGACTGTTGATGCAAATCTATCAGTCAGCTAGTGTGTCTTTGAAGTCACGACCTTTGCACTTAGAGTGTTGAGGAGATGCAATTCCTGCAGAGAGTAACAAAATAAAATCGAACAATTCAACTATGCTAACAACAATTTCTATCATTATGAGCACGTTACGGCAATCATGTAGGCAGTTATTCATCTAAAAGAGGGTTGGAAGCATTATTTCGATTCACATAAATTCTCAAGCGATAAACTGGCATTAACCCAACCTATCCTTTCGCATCGACATTGAGTAAGCTTTCATGATCTCACCTTCACTTTTTCTTTCTCACCTTCTAAGCACGGACCAAAGAACGAAGCATTGCAAAACGTGTAACAAATGTGTTTTGAAATTCGACCACCATTGCTGCTGGCTAAACACCTGCATCGGAGCAAGGAATTATCGGTAAATGTCCCCTCACCCTAGCATTTTCCATTATTTTTTAAGCTGTTGTTACCACACTGAAAGTGGTCATTTGGTGTTGAACAACAAGAGCTACACTTTCCAGTTAACACAGGAACGTTTATTTACCTCTTCGCGTCCCCTCGAGGATCGAAAATCATAAGAGCTTCAGCATTCTCACTTTATAAACAATTAGCATTTGGCACAGCAGAAGGTAATGTGTAGTTTTGTATTTTGAAATGTGGAAATCTACGACCCCAAAATTATCCAAGCATATACAGTTCTGTGTCCAATGCCGAAATGGTCACCATCGCATGCAATAAGGAAAGGAGTGTACACCTCAGCACATTCCGTAAGTAGACCACTGAACGGGCACTCCTCCAAAAGTACGAAAGCAAGTCATATGGCACTTTTATTGTGAAAATCGGTATCCTTTGATCATTTCATGTTGAAACATTTTTCGTGGTTGTACAAATTAGCTTTAAACACTTTTAGACGCAATTTGCGCTCAAAGTGGTTGTGTAAATTAGCGACTACAAAGCCGTCATCTGATGCGTTTACCTTTAAGTATTTGGTCTTATGGAACCTCATAGAATTGAAATACGAATGAAGTTCCGAGAAGATAGGTGTAGATTGAACTTCGGTGTTTGCCACCAAATCAGGAGCAATTCGAGTTTGGTGGGTAGTTCACCTGCTGCTGTGTGGAAGATCATCTCGGAATTTATCCATTACTCCTTGTAAGTGTAATGTGACTGGGAGGGGAAACAAAGATGTTAGGATAAGGGTACATTTCCTTAAGAATATAGGCTCGTTGCTAATTATGTAGGTTTCAAAAAAATAAAAATATGAATATTTGTTTAATAGATGGTCTTCAGGCATAAAAAAGCTTAACCTTAATGGACTTTAAGGGGCAGCAGAATTGATTAAGATAAAACACCGAGAAACAATGTTCTCAACGATTCGATTACCAGTGTATTTTGAAGTCAAAAGAACGGATCTAAGTTACACGGATAACACATGAAATTTCAAAAGCACTTTGCAGAGTAAACTGAAGCACTGGCAATTGTTTTTGCGTACCGTACGAGTGAACAGACGAAAGTTATGTTTCCTCAACGAGATTTTTCCTCATCAATCAAGGCGGTTGACTTTTATCCAATTGGGATATTTTTACTACTCACACAATTGATGGCAGTAGAGGAGGAAAAGAAGAGCCAAAATGAGCCTGTGCATGAGGCTTAAGGTGTCGATTTTGGCAGAATATACAAAAAAAAAATGAGGAGGTTCTTTGATTTTTTTCACGACACACCTTGCCAGTTCGTTAAAATCGCTGCGAATATGGAAGTTGCTTTAGAAGAAGGAAGTGGAGTTTATGAGAAACAGTTTGGCGCATTTAGTATCAGACAGGATCAGGAGGCCTGGCGAAAAGAGGAGAGCAGTTTGTAGAATGGAGCATAAGCAGAATTCGGTTAATAGCAACCACCTCCAAAGTAATCCCAATTGACAAAAGATAAGACGCCTATTGGGCACGGCAACCCACCGGGACATCGACATCGCCTCCCCATTGATGCTCCCAAACACTGACGCACCGACAAAGATAGGCATGAGTACGGAAATCCAAGGCATTGCACGCTCCGCAAACACCTACAAGTAACGCAAATCCAGTCATTAGCAGATGTTAGTCGACTCCTCCTCCCGATGGTAGCACATCGTCAAACTAACCACTCGACTGAACCCTCACACCTACGCACTAGTTTATCCTCCTTTCACTCTCTCTTCTCATCTTCCCCACCAACCCTGTCCCGCTAACTCCTCCCCGCCTACAGCCATAATGGAAGATATGTTTTGGTACAGGATATGTAATGTTTTTAAAGTTTTATGTGGCTCCTTAAAACGGCGCATCTCCTAAAGTTTCCACGTTTTGATGTGATTTTTTACCTCACCGATTTATTAAGCGCTTTATAAAGATGTCCACTTCGCCCATTTCCTACATTTGACCTTTGTGCTGCTTCTCTCTGAAATTTCAAACGTCCTCCACTTTGTCGAGATTGAGACCGTCAAGTAAAATAAATCCCAGCTTTTGCTCAACTTCTAGACCATATTTCCCCTACGTCTCTTTCGATGTGCACTAGCATGTCACGACAAATGAATAAAACACTAAATTACTAACAATGTGCATGTACATGAGGACGACAGTGCACTCTCTTTTATTACCACTATCCCAAGGATGGGACATATTAGGCACCTCGACTGACTTTAATGACTATTTATACATTTCAGCTGCTTCATTGGATCAATCTCTTTCGGTGCTGTAAGCTTGATAACATCGGTGTGTGTATCAATCGCGTTATGTTTCGTCGGAATGCGACAGTACCACGGTAAACAACTTTCCCATCAAAGCCAGCCTCTACACTTTTTGAATCCATCATATCAATTCTTATGCGCCATATTTGGTTAGAAATGTCGTTTCACCTTGACCTAATGTTTGATGATACGAAATAACAAATCAAACTATACTCAAATTTTGAAGTTTGATGAATTTCATTTCGACATTGACTTCCATTCTTTAATCCAGGATCACTTCTATATTTACATGACTATGCGTCATTCTCTGTCTTACTTCTTTAACTTTCCAGACGCGCTAAGCTATTAGTAAAAATGAAACTGGATTCTAACTTTTGCATACGAAATTGAGATTTGTCATGCCATACGCGAAACCGCAGCGTCAAACTTCGTCCACCCACCAGGCAGCCTCACAGATTTGGATTTTACCAGCTGCTCTAACCTTCTCCACATGCACGGATTGGCCACTGTTTAGCTGTCGACGCAGTTTTTGTTCACAACGTCCGCCTTCACTATGCAATACGAGATTGACCTGAAGTCTTCTTTAAAATTTAGACAGGAATTTGCAACCGGGACATATGTTCACCTTTGAGGTACCCATGGCGGTATTTGCCATTTGGATAGGCGCATCAAGTGTGTGTGAACTTATCCTCCTGGCATTTCTTCTGCATTTGGTTGCCTTCCATGCATACCTTTGTGAGTGATTTTTTAGAATGTCTCCATTCTGAGGAGGAAATTGGTGGTTAGCAAAGTTGTTTATTCCAAATCTCTAGCAGTATTTGACTTTGAACTGACGTAGTGAACGTAAAGTTTTCGATTTCCTTCACTGTAGGACTCACAGTACTTGTTGCTCTTCACGAAGGAACCAACTTAAACTAATAAGAATGCGTTTTAGCACGATGCTATCAAAAATAAAAACTCTGAAAAATGTCCAAGCTAAGAGTTTAACTTCGCAAAGGTCCACGGTGAGGAGATAAACTACCTTTGAAACCCAGTAAGCAATGATCCAACTACCGTATGCCAAGCGTATGAATCCCCTGTGACTCGGGACGCTAATAAAACATGAGAACTAAAGCTAATTAGCTCTAATGTGAGCAATCCGCCTAACCCATCTTGAAGACACTCCCAATTCCTCCTATTGGATCCCCCTGTCACTATCTAGTTCAAGTTTTAGCATGAGTGCTGGCATGGCCGAAACAGCATCTAGGCCCATCTCCTGTTCTAGCCTGTAGAGGCTTGACCACCTACGAGAACGCAATGCTACGACGTCGCAACCCCCACGATGCAATTAAAGAAGCAAGCGAGTGCATGCGAAAGTTACGGCTACGAGCGGGATTCCGTGCGGCCAGAGTACACCCTATCGTAATCACTCGCCAAGCGGAGGGAGAGACATTGAATCGCCTGGAAGAAATTAGAAGCTTGCCCAAGTCAGACGAATTGACAGTTGCAGGAGCAACAAATGGAGACCCAGTAAGTAACCACATTAACGCCAAATCCTGGAGTCTGAGAAGGGAACCGTAGGCGCGGATACTTTGAGGGCTTTGGATCCAGTCACAGAGTAACAAAAGCTCCAGCACGGACTGCAACGCACCCCAGGAGAAACAGACCACCACCACACAACATGCCAGCCGGATGTCTGCAACTAATCCCAACCTCCATTTTTTATTGGAATTACACCGCTTGAAACCGCCCATCCCTTCTCACCATCGAAGAAGGTGCAGAGGGTCTCGAACATTAAAATTTATCACAGATATTGACAGTTAAATACCTTATGAAGTCCGAAAAACTGGTGGATATGTGGGTGTGGGAACCACAGTTAACGAGCAATAACAAAACGCCTCCAACACAGATTTAGAAAAAAAGGCGTACCACCTCTTCCAGCACGGTTTACTTAAGTTAAACACTATCAACAACTGGAGGCTCGTAATGAGCCGGCCGAGCTACACCTTCACCGAACTCGTTCACCTTCCCTTCGTTGTGGAGTTCAAGTATCCGAGCAACTAAAAGAACTTACTTAAAGCAAAACAGACATACGGTCCAGTTTTGGCTTCTTAAGGACTTTAACTTTGCGGACGAAGGCCCCACTTAGCGGGAAAATCGCTGACGCTTCATGCATTGCGTCCTGACCGATCGAGTCAGGAATACTAAAATGACGTCAGCAAGCTAGCCAACTTACAGTTTTTGAACGACGCTCTTCAAATCGCACCTGGCTACTTCGCGCTGAACAACTTCCACAATCTTGGCCCGAAGCTTCTTTATACGCGTAGTCTGCGCATAGGCATGTGACTTTTGGTCCTCCTGCTTCTTCGTGAAAGCTATTACAAAGAATCGGAGGGTATAACCATCTGTGGTTTTGACATCAACATGCGCCTCAATCGTTGATTGCCACTTCAGAACCATTCCACAGAGCTTATCACGAGTAAGATCCATACCATGGAAGTTTGTTAGACAGTGGCGCCCTTGAACGTCCTCAATCTGCAGCTTGAACTTCCTGAATATGTCCTGCGTCTTGTCACTCAAATCTCCGAGACTCAGCTGGATAACCCGACCTTTCAAACCCTCACTCGCAATTTTGGTGCCCTGAGTGCGCGTAATTAATGTGCGAGCACATGTTCGATTAGAAAACATCGATGGAGCTCTTAACTCATACCACTCTTTCTTAGTAAAAGGATCAGTTCTAGAATAGCCAAAATTATCAAGAATGCAAGTACGTACGTCTTCTTCTTCCCGCCTTTCTTGGCTCCCTTCTGGGACTGCTGCTTGGTAGGCGCCATTAGATGAGATTCACGCTCACAGCCAATACAAGTGACGCGCCGGAGGTCAGTAAAACGAAACGCAACGTATTCTCAAGCTTTGCAAGGACTCTTTCGCCAATAATTCAAAGATTAAGTATAGAGCACCCAATGTTTCGCTAACATTTTGTGCAATATTTTGAGCTCTGAATTTTCGCAAAGGAGTTAAGGGACTGTTTGTGCAAAACAGGCAACGATATTAAGATACCCAAAAATTGTTAAACATTGTTAAGACTAAGTAAGTTTTGAATGCCAAGGCACATTCTTGAATCTCAGTTACAGCTGCCGGCACCTAGTTGGCTATCAGCCGGGTGGATTTATCTTGGCCAAGCCCGTGCTAACGAGCCTCTCAACATCAATGCATGGTTTTTATAGTTCGTTTATCTTCCTATCAGTACTGTTTGCAAGGACCTTAATGACCGAAATTCAATTCATGCTAAAACCCATTTTTCCTTTTATTTGCGTCCCAAAAATGCATGCACTCGGCCCAAGTATTATGCCTTTAAATTTACAGTAGGGTGGAGCATGGGGTCACAATGTTTTCTCCGGTGTTTACGCCTACATAAGTTGGCTTACTTTAAAGTTTGGTGATGGAAGAGCCACAATACTTCTCACTGAATAGATGATGACATTGAGTTGGACCGAACGCACAAATTCTAGTAGAATAATAAGCAGCTGGACCTTGTCCTGACTCCAAGGCCAGCCTACGTTTACAAAGGCAAGACGAAAACTAAAGCCCCCGTCATAATTAATAATATTTTGTGCACAAAATGGAGAAATGGGCTTGGCATCGATTACCATCTATCCATCCCAATGGGTCCCTAAATCCAAGACTAGTTTAGCAAATTAAGGTACTCATAAATGCGATAGGCGTGATAATTGTAGCTCCCTCTTCACCTTTCTTCTGTTCCGCATCTTGGAGTACTAAGACGAAGTAGTGCTTGTCGAGGACTTGATAGGGCGTACTAGATAGGAAAGAGGAAAAGACTAAAAGGCACTGTAACATATATACTAACGTGTTTAAGTTGCTCTTATAGAGGAGAGGTGATTGGTCACTTCGAGCACGAAATTCACGCTTGAAGAACGTGAGAACCCAAGAGGAGAGCAACTCGGGTCGTAGTCTTACTCACACATACATCCCTTTCTATTCTACAAAGGATGCCTTACGCACACTCTTTAAGCAATCCCCTTATAATGCTAGAGGTTCAGATTCTTAAGGGTAGGCTAAGAGGTCTTACCGGCGCATTAGAAATATTTAGACTAGTGCTAAAATAAATTCTCATACTTCAGTAAACGGCGTTCGAAATGAGTTCAGATCTCTCTCCCATTGAGTTCGATTCAAAAACTAACATACACAGCCGTAACACTTTGTTCCTTTACTATTTTCATGCGTGGAAGTCGATTTTCTTAACCGCAGTGCTCATTCAAGTTGCGTGCTACAGCACAACGTCTACAATTTTTGCCTATAGACACCTGTTTGGTCAAGTCCTAAAGTGGACTTCTCAGACCGCTATTGTTGGCACTAATTAAACTAATTCAAACGTAATTAAAAAGGTAACAGGACCAAAGCCACCCTTGCCCACTACTATGCTACTAACATACTTAGACACAGATTCAGTCAAAAAATTGCCAACGTTCTGATCATTTATTGTGAGGACCGCTAAGAGTGGAACGGAAGAGAACGATTAAGAAGCTGAAGTGAGAAGTCGAATGCTTGATACTGTGCCCAGAAAGACCTTTAAGGGCCAGATTATCGATTAGTGCTAAGTTCTAATTGTAAGACCTTAACTCACCCTCAGATTCTTGAACCTTTGGTTTCATAAAAATGAGTGCTTGGAGAGGGTTCGTTAGGCATCCTTAACAAAAAAGGAGGAGGTATAAGTATTAGTAAGGCATTGATCTGGCGTCAGTTAGCGGAAGGAACCCGTGTTATTCAAGTACGGGTTTCGTGTCCGATTTGACCAACCGCCTCAACCCTACAAGGGCAAATTAAGCACATTATCCTATATACTACACTAATGCCACTTAAAGTTCTTAATTTATTTTAATGGATCTGCTTCCATGACTCGTATTGGATTATATATGTTGGTATTTTAACTCGGGAAACGTTAAAAGGGTCTGGGATTTTCGGGATGTTTATTTTACATTGCAGTGCAAAGGATGAAAGGATGAACTGCAAGGGAACCAAACATGAAGGCTTATTCGCGGCTTGAGATGGATTCATTCGTACCTGCTTGCATTGTGCTAAAAATGAACTCTTGCTTAACCTACACAGCACATCTATGTAGCTTATATGCTCTGCACGGCATAAAACCATAATTATGTAACAGCTACTGTTTAGTGATTATTTTAGTACGCATGATCTCTTCTCCTTTCCACAGAAGAAATCTAATCAGCTCAAATTAATGCCTTCTTCTGCTTAGTGGGAAATCTCAGGGCGCTGAACTCCTTTTTGTACGTTCCCGCACAATTTTGTTAGAAAACCGTATTCAGATTATGTAATCACTACGGCTTCATGTAACACTTAAAAGCTGCAAGCTTATCGAGTAAATAGAAGGGGGAGAAAAGAATGCCTACAACAACCTGAAGGAGTCGTCCTTACACTCCATGACCACAATTTTGAAATTTTCTTCCAACTTTCCACCAAATAGGAGCACTTTATACATCTCGCTTTGGGTTACGTGAACAGATTCTCTAAAACTTATACTCTGCATGGTGTGGATTTGATGCAAAATTTTCCTTGGTCCTCTGTTACTAGTGCTTTGAGATGATAAACTTAATTTTACTAATACCTGACTAGTGCTTTTAGATGCGCATTGTTATAATGTTCGGCGTTTGCGCTTGTTTTTTGTGTTCATCTTTACAGTACACTGTTTATTTTTATGAAGGCCTGCACATTTAAAATGTCTGACATACAGTTGTCCTTCAACCATGCTTTGCTAGAAGACTATTGGACTAATCATTGGCCAATGAGTAGTTGGGTTTTATGATGCTATTTCTCGATGGTTTTCACGTTGCCTGAGGTTGCTGGTGTTAATCTGCTCGTTTGGGGTACCTCGGAGCCATCCGATGAGAACTTTAGGCGATGGTGTCAAGGTGGTGTGTGATTCCAACGTCATTGTTTTGCTTAAGGTTTCCAGTTTAGTGAATATGAACAGACCGCACTTCTTCAAATAGATAGTGGGCCGTGTGCTGTCATCGCTGCTGTCCAAGCCGGGATTTTGCGCCAAGTTCTTTTCTCGACAGAACACCCTATCCCAGTTCATTCGGGTAGCTTTCTTCTTTATTACTATTATTATTAGAGTCAAGCAATTTGGATCTTTTAACCAACGCTTTATTGGAAATTTTTATTACTGTGTCGACTAATCGGAACCATTCAAATTACAGCATTTTCCATTGGGATTCATCTGACGTAAGCGCTGGATCATCTGAGGGTTTGAAAAAAAATCGCTTGACTATTTTTGTACTTATTAGAAATTTTCCCAATCAGGTCCGGATTTCAACGCTTTATTTCAGGTCTAAGGTAATTAATCCCAGAATTTTCTTCCTCACTATCACCGCGATACCATTATTTTGCGAAAGCATCTTCAAATTTATTTCAGTATACATTTACAGTCAGGATTTGGTTAGTGTTATTTGATTCATACATTGACTGACTTAATCAGGGCATTGTAAGGATGAATATTGTTCCAAACCCATCCATGTCTAGTTTAACTGCTGTGGACACTGAGGAAGATTTGCACGCATCGATTCTTTCCCTCATCCCTGCGTTTGAATCAGAATTTGGCATTTTGTGCTTCCTCTATTCCATTCTTGTGACACACGGGTTGGAAAATGTCAAAAATGGAATGATCGGCGAAACAGAAACCCTAATCGATTCTAACTTTGGCAATGCCAGCCAGTGTCTCTTGAACCTTCTTCTGACTGGACAATCTTCACCATATCTTTTCGATGGCAAACGCGACCTCTCGGGCTTTTGTAAGCTATCTATTGTGTATAATCTATCGTTCGCTCTCTTTGTATTTTTGTTTCGAGCAAATAATACATAGTTTATGTGTGTGCTAGCTTTAAATAACTGAATTTCGTGGATCAGCACAGAGGAACGTAAATTGCTTGCTAATTGATAGGCATGCAGGGTATTACCGAGCAGCCAAAAACAGGTTTTCTGACAATCATGGAGTCCCTGCGCTATTGTGAAGTTGGTTGGTTTTTAAAGAACCCATCCACCCCCATATGGATCATTGGTTCTGAAAGTCATTTCACTGTACTGGCTTCACCGTGTGTTGAACTTGTGAGTGTGGAGCCCATTGGGTCCCTTCTTCAATCAGAACAGACAGGACGGGATGGTTCAATACCAAAATCCAGCTTGTGGCAAGCGGAACGCGAATTTGAAAACCTTTGTGAAAGTTCCGACGCTGGGTTTCTGACTTACGAAAAATACGAACAGCTACTTGGCCTATTGAGATTGCCTAATGACGAAGCAAGGTGAGCCTCAGTGTGAATTTTAACAACCATTCATCCTCATTGCTGTTGATATGCACAGTTGATTTCTCTCTTATGCCGTCGAGTTCACTCTCCTTGTGCATGAGCAGCCGTGAGTCCCAGTATACAATTTCTTCTACCATTCGTTAGTGTTAAAGGTGACTTTCTGCTCATTCTTGTGATCCGGGCTACTTTTCGTTATCGTTACCTCTGTACTATTGCCTCTTTCTAGACATTACGATAGGCCAAAGGTTTAGTTTATACTTCTTTTCGGACCATGATACTTCTAGGAGCATCGCACTGTGTGGCAATAGGCGTTCGGATAGTCTATTTGTTCATTTTGTAAATAGGCAAACGTCATTTTAAAAAGTTTAGTACGTGTGTTGTGTGTAGTTTTTACGAACTAAAGTGCTTGCTTAACTTTAAATGGTTTCTCTTGGTTTTTGTAGCAGATGAATGCCTTACCTTGAAGTCGCAATACTTAGGAATGAGTGGATTTGTATTAGATTATGATACAGTTGTTGCTTTTGTTTCTCAACTCATTCATTTTTGGGGCAAAATGCTTTCGTTACCATTGTTTAGATGTAAAGATTTCTCTGTTTCTGTTTCGACTAGTATTCGGGTGGCTAAAACAACTATGGACCCAGATGGAATGCAAATAATTCTGCGAAAGCCTTTCTTCGACTACTACTATTCTGATGAAATAAGGCGTCGAGGCGATATCATCTCTGAATTTCAAGTTCTGCACTTTAATGGACTGCCCGTCGGCCAACCCAGGGATAAGGTAAATCTTTCATCGCTTCAGTACTTTGGCGAATCGTTCACCTACTTTTTGATGCACTTGAAGTACTGTCAGTCTGATTAAAATATAATTTTTGTTGGCAGGTAATGTATAGATATGGCATTGCAAAAATCATGGACCCCATGGAAGAGAGCCCTCCTACCAGATTGACTACACTGGACCGATGTCTACGCACCAAGTGGCCTACGATCCAGGTTACTTGGGAAGATGGTCTCGAACCGGTGATCGAGTGACTTGTCACATTCCACCTCAATGCCACTCTGTCCTTTTCTCGTGGCTCTTTCATCTCCTCTCTTCTTCTAATCCCTCTATCTCTTGGTTTTGATATGCATCTCAAAGCTAGGCATCGCAATCACTGTGCTTCCAGCTCTCAGCCTTTCAATTTCGTAGCAAGGCACTAGTCTCGTGTGCGCTCCAGACATTCCACTGGATGGGAGTGTTAGAACTATTTAGTTTGTCATATGTGTTAGGCCTCTAATTCTACAACTACTGCTCATTTAGAACAAAAGGAATTACTATTTCAACTATCTGCAAAATACACTCATGCACACATCAGGCGCCGACTGAAGTGTTTCGTCGGCTTTGAATCTGTGTGAATTTATCAAAAGCACTGGAATCGAACCGGTGGGCTTGTGTTGCCTTATCCGCAGGTTATATTTTGGTACAATGACGGATCTTCTACATCTTGGCTCTCTGTGAGGTTATGCTTATTTCTTGTCTCCTGAATATTTGACTCGCTAATAGTAGATTTCTGGAGTCCTTTGGGTTGAGGATGTCTGCATCAGTTGTCCTTAAACCTGTTAAGCTTGCAGTTATCTGCTCCGGTTGACTGCGCTAACGCACTGTCGAGTGCCAAAGTGGCACGCATTCTGTTAATGGAGTGCTTCTCTAGTGGCGGTATCTTCGAACTAAAGTTGAGTACTGTACTTGGAGCAAGGTGGAGTAATGTTTGATGCTAGGCGGGCGCATAGTGCACCACATTCTCAGTAATCCCTTCGCTCGAATTCTGAGTACACCCGCTAAGTGTCACGACGCAACAATAATGCACTCAGAACAACCATGAATCCATCTGTTCCTCATGGTACCATCTAACCACTATTTATACTCCCATTTAATGAAGGATAAGAAGACGTCGAAGGATGGTGAGCATAAGTAACTGCCGAATTGTGAGGTCAGTAAGAAGTTAACATAGTAATTAATCTGTGGAAATGAGTGGAAGCCCTCATGTAGTTGACGGTTCCGACTTCAGATGTCTTCTATTTTGTTTTCAACTGCTGGTAACGTCTCATCGTTTTCGAAAGAAATGAGGGACGAGTCAATAGTTGATGCTTGTGGGTCGTCAGGAGAGGGATGATCAGGGGGGCACTCCACGATGAGAGGGGCATTCTCCTCTGTGCCGTCTGAAATTTGGGAAGAGTGGCAACGGTGATAAATGAGAAGACCACTATTTACCACGAGGCTCACCAAGGCACCGGTAATGATTAGTGAAGCTGCTACACTGATGGACATCTGAGGAACAATGAGAGTAGACATGAGGGTGTGGGCCACCGACTCCGATACGTAGATAGAGGTGTTAATATAGCCAATCGGAAGGTAGGTGACTTTCTTTAAATGGGCCAATTCAGTAAAAAAGGAGTTTTGTTTTATTATAGCGTTGATTTGAACCATTTGGAGGGCCTGAAGAATCACTCCAGTCTGCGGTTCTATGTACAAAGATATGTCCATATCCTCACGAGGATCCATTCCTATGACGTCATTACGGTAACTTTCGTCGGCCTAGGTTAAAACAAATCGGATTAAATTCGTCAGTATAATGGGGTGACAAAAACAGTGGGGATAAGAATAATCACGGCGAGTCTTCTTGAAGCAGGAAAGAAAAGTTAGACAGAGTCGCAATTCTTCCGCAGTTTAAGCTCTAAAAGCATTCCCATTAGATAAGTAAGTATAAGTAAGACCAGTGTTATGGTCAAATAGATTTAGATCTTCTAGGCATAGCCTATTAGAGCATTCACCAGAATAACCTGCAGTAATCGCCATTGTTTTACGTAAGTACGTAATTGCATTGAGAAAAATGCACAAAAACGTGGTGACAGGCTCTTATGAGTACTCTACAGGTAAAACGAAAGAACACATACCCCGTTAAAATGCGGCAAGGAGATAGCTATAGGGGCACCTTTCATGCATTTCCGCATATCCAATGTTCCTGACTTTGGGCAGTCCGGATAATCCAGGCAGAATCCACGATTATCCGGATATTCATCTGGAGAAAGAAACGTGTCCTTCGAAAGACAAAACTTCGTGGTAGGAACTGAGTTTATGTACACTGTCTCAGGTTTCTCTGCAGCATGAAACTGCAAAGATCGACAAACATCGCCAGAGAAGACATTGACATTGGACCCCAGGAAGGGAGAGAAAAGAGACCCGTCGGAACCAACTATACGATTCGCCAGTGAAGTTCTCCATACCGACATCTCTCGGCGTCCATTGAAGGTGATAATTTGTCCAACCTTTGTCGTATCTTCAACACCATCATTCACTTCAAAAGTGGGACCAGCTGAATTATTTTTGCCTGCGTAGAGGCCAATTATGGTCTCCACAGCAATGAACTGGTTTATTACTTTTAGAGCAGGATCCTCATAACCCCAAATCATCTCAAATACAGCCTTTTTCAAAAACAGTTTAGAATGGTAAAATAGTTTGATGAGTTGCTTTGCCAATTTTGCGAGGAGGTAATTCTTCCCAATGTTGCTGGCGATCGCAATGTATCCAACGTTGAGTACTGTAATTTCATCCGACTCCAAGCCGGCCGATCGATCTGGCAAAAATAGGAATGAATTTTTATCCGAGTATCTGACGCTTCCGTTTTGGGGAACGGCATCCAACGCGGTCTTGCATGTGCTTTGCTCGTAGGTATAGGGACCGATTTGGCGGACAATAGGCTTGCTTCCATTCATAAAGTCCTGTTCATTTGTGACTGTAAAAAAGTAAAATTCCACAACAATGCCGGACCGACATTTACTCCATGAGTCAAACAGTGTGCTGCCTTTGAGTAACTTCATTTTCGATGTTATTTCGCTATGGATGACGAACGGCAGAGTAATGTGGAGTGCTATGCCAACAAACAATAAAATTACGGATGCACCTATGCATTTTTTCATTTCTTTCATTTGTTTGGTGCCAGGTACAGAGACCCTGCAGGAGAATGCTACCAATTTTTCATTACCAATGGAAAATTAAAGCAACTTTAACTTCACGCTCCTGATCACACCACCTGAACGTCGACCTAGCGTCTACGCAAATGAGTTTGTGCACGCTAGGCATGACCTTGAATGTTAGCTAATCGCAATAGCCCTAATGCTTGTATCAATGTTGACGCCGAAAGGCGATTCGTCGCCTTCAGCACTTGGGCTATTTGGATGCTACACTAAAGATACAATCTAGAAAAACGGTATCTTTTATGAATAAGAAAGAAGGAGCATGAATTACATGTTCTGCAGCTAAGCAAAGCAAGTTGTGTGCCAGCCTTGTTCGATTTAAGTGCATGATAAAGCACTTGAACCACCTCGGCTAACTACGAGCCTTCACTGCCTAGTCTAGTAGGTCATGGGAGAGCAGTATCTGTCCGCACCTTGTCCCTGTATCATAGAAGTGAGTGAGCGATTACCCGTAGTTTCCACTTTTCATTTTGCTTTTTATCACTTGAAAGGATGCGTGTCCCAGTTATTGTCTTTGTATTTAAAATAAGTCACTCAAACTTATTAAGTGTGCAAGTTTTTGAAGTAGCATTCTGGCATACCTGGCGAAGACTAGCACAAACACGCAGCTATTCACGTGTGGGTTGTAAATGATTGTTAAGAATTCAGGTGGAATTTCGCGGACCTGTGCGTTAATACAGCCTGGCATCTAAAATCATTTATAGCAAGCGAACGGTTCGAACGCGGCTGTCTGGGTGTCTGCATTAAAAGACGAGCACTAAGTTAGCTACCTTTAACTCGATACGTCTTAGTCAGCCAAAACATGTAGGCTTTTCCTGCCTCAGTTGATGGTTTCTTTTCTCATTAAACGCAAACCATAAGAGATCACTCTGAAGATTCTGAACTTATAAGTAATGTGCTCAGGAGGCCCGAATTCACTAAATTACTGCTGTAAAGAGATGCAAATTTTTAGTCTTTTGGAGTGTTGCACGAATAATGATGCGCGAAATGTCAACGCTAGCATCCTACCGAGTAAGCGTTCGTGTGCGACACCAAAGGCGTCGGTCCTAATAGCTTTCATTTTCCATCATTTGTCACGTTCAGCCTGATTTAGTAGCATATTACATATGGTTATTGTCAGTGATTTTACCTTGCATGTCTATGTTTTAGTTGGCAGAGTGATCTTCATTGATATTTTCTTCTTTTATTTGACCGACTTTGCTGCAGTGATGAACTTCTTGTAAACTCATTCATTTGTATCGAAATCAACAAGCCAAATTTTGGTCCTTTGCTTTGTCTCTGGGATGCTAATTACCTATGCTAATATCTTTCCATCAATATTCAATTTCGTCAAAACTACACTTAAACGCTTTCGAAATTTGCATGTGTTTGAGTTGTCTTATTTACAGTATCATGTGGCTGACGGCAGATCCTCTACAGTCTGAGTTGGAGTGTCTTCTTTTCTGTTGGGTGAATGGGATCCTCGTGAACAGCACTCCCTTCGAAAGTCGTTGATTCTCCTGCATCACACCACTTTCGTCTCGCGACAGTCACGCCACTTAGCAAATCTTCTTTGATATCAGTGCCCTCCTTCCGCTTGGGTTCACCCATCAGTTTTGACTGGGCTTGTGATAATGAGTACTTGGGTAACGTCTGCTCTTCGGAATTGTATATGATCTTCTTAAGTTCGTCTGCTTGAAACGTTACCTACAGCGTTATAAAACTGGACCTTACAAGCCTAGATAGTTCACATATTGAGCTGCACAAGTCCCTTTTTTTTCCGACGGATGATGGAGTGGTCTCATCGTTTGACGGCAAATGCTGGAAGGCATTCTGAAGTAGATAATATAAAAGTGATAAGTAGTATAACAATAGAAGAACGTTATGCGGCATTTCTTTTTTTTTTTTTGTCCCAATTCCGCGCTTTACTCATCACACTGCGCAGTCATCTTGTTGCGGTGATTGTAAATACGTCGACGATGGCAATCTAAAAGACTTTCTGCTCGTAGAATTACATGTGAAATTGAGATTGAATAATAATACACAGCCTCCACGTCGGGGAGGAACTGCAAACCTTTTTCTGCAATTGACTATCCACGGACGGCAATGACATCTCCAACGTGAGTACGTTGCCAATTTTTTCCTCGATTTTACGCTCGAGGCCCTTGCGTCGTTTGACCTCCATTGTCAGCTTGTAGGAGGAAATAAGGATTTCGTGACACATTCAAAGCATCACCTAGTCGTATGGCCAACTCGCACTGACGCTCAACAGTAGTTTGATTTTCATACGAATTCCGCACATCAAAAGTTTTAGGCAGTAACAGAATGCTGGTCAGCTTAAACACATAAGGCAATTTTTTGTATGCAGACTCCTCGGGCCAGTAAATGGTGAAATTCGTTTCTATGACGTGTGACTGAAGCTGGCTATTTACAAGGTATGCTCAGTGAATGTACCTAGGAAACAGTATTAGATAGGATGCTAGTAATGCGCCTCCGCTTGTAAGTAAAGTTGATTTTGTGCTAAAAGTACATCTGAGATACAAGACACTATGCAGTAGTTCTGATCATAAATGTTTTTTTTTATTTAGTCCACGGACTACTAAGGAGAGGAATACGTATACATTTATTTCATTGCCAAATAAACTGGAATAAGTGTTTCGTCATTCCGCTCAGGAATAATAACCTTAGCAAAAGATTAAAATGGGGCTATTAAGCCTCGTAATCGTTTGAGAACCATAAAGGGATCGATAGTTGCTGTATAAGCATCTACTGAATGCAACAAGTAACAAGTAAATATTAGCGTTTCATACACAGGCTCTAAAGATGCACGGTTTAAATTTCTATGCAATTAAGCTACTGACGTACCGCTTGCTTGCATGTCTCGAATTTTTCCTCGACTTCGACTAACTGGTTCTTCAGTGTATTAATTGTTTCCTTTAATTCTCCAATTAGATGATCTTTTTTCTGATTGCTTTTAAGAAGCATTTCTTTTTCACCTTTTAGTCTCAAAATATCTTGCGTAAAAATATCCATCTGTTCTTTTCGCAAAGCTATAAAAAAATCATTTCGTTTACGAAGTTGAACTACCGATTTCATGTGCCAGTTTCTCTTGTATTTCACCACATTTTCGTACCAAATCATTTATAAGTTCGGCCCTTTGATCATCGGTCATTGGAGCGTTTGCATTTGTGGTTGCTTTCTGTGATCAACATTTCACATACATTGCAAACCTACTTCTATTGTTTACATACCTTCATTCCGTCTTCATCTCGCTTGTCCAGGAGTGGGTCACTTCCTCCGGTTTTACCCAATTCTTTTCGTAAATAATGATTTTCCAGTTCAAACAAATATATCTGTTTATGCAGACTTCTGATATATTCGGCCTCCAGAGACTTGGAGGCTTCATAAGCGCCAAGCATTTCCCTTCAAAAGGGGAGGGTAAAACAGAGAAGAATCATACCCCTTTAGCAAAACTGAGTTAACCACAACGTTGCCTTTTGGGCAGTCTTGCTTCTCGGCAAAAGTGCGAGGCTTTTTGGACCCAGTTTTTGGAAGAACACCTGATGAGTCCATGCTAAATTAAAACCAATTGTCATTCAAGATGATCCACTCGAATTCGAAATGAAAATTCTGTTCATGCCTTTCACAGCTTTAAAAGTGACTACGTATATAGAATACCAAAGTACTGCCAAATACTAGCGATATTTCTGCAAAAGCATACCACAGAATGGGAGTTAGTCATCCGGGCAAACTAATAAAACTAGAGCCTTTAGAATCAATAATGCTACTGTTAAAGAAATTAGAAAATATAAAAGAAAAATGGCGAGCCATATTAGATTAAGTACATATATGAAAAGGAAGTAGGTGAAAAATTTTAGCCAACAGAAAGACCTTTATTTTCGTGATGGTAATTCTTTTGTTAGAAAGGATGAACAATAATTTCATTGCTACAATAAAATAAAACCATTAAAGTTTTGTTGCAGAGCGTAAGAAGCGCATATAAATGTGATTTTTGCGTAGAGATCAAGCAATACTCTTTAAAAACCAGTGATAAAACTGGACGAAAGTATTAATTTCAAGCGCAAGCATACAAAAAATTAAACTATGATTTCCATGTTAAGCTAGTGAATTTCATTTTTTTTAAATTGGACGGAAAATAACTCAGAAAAAAACATTTGAATTAGACCAATTATATAGATAGAAATATTAAGCATAAATTCATGCTAGCATTCAGGGCCAATACTGCAAGCGTTTTGATGATAATTAGTCCATAAATTTTTAAAGCTTATAATATGGTGCTTGTAAGCTGTGCAAACTTATATAGCTACTGGTTAATGCCCACTGTTTCGGACACCAAAGGGCATTGGGTATGGCGGGGCGTCGGCACAATTTCTGAAGGACATAATCAGGACACGCAAAGCACGTCTAATACAGCTTCGTGCTATTTGTAAAACAATTTAGTACGAACTTGTTTCTATAAAATCTTAAAACTAAATTAAATGCAACCACACTTTATTAACTATTAGACACTTAATGTAATAATTATTTGGAGGTTTTGATCGTTAACGCAAATGAAAGCCCTGAAATTGAATAATTTTGTGTTGTGCTTTACCACCTAAGATGACTTTGGTTGACACTGTAGCGTCCCGAGGATTCCAATTGGGTAGAAGAAGGCATAAGTGAGGTTGAATACATGTATTCAGAGACGACAAGACAAATGGGACCTGGGTGTGGTTCGAAGGCCACCCCACGTGTGTGGGGACCAGACAACTTCTAAAGTGACCACCAAAGTCCAGCAGTCGCATAAACAAAGCATTACAGACACTCTATGCAGGCAGCTTAGGTTGTCGCTACCTTCGCTGACAGTTGATAGGGTTCTCGGGTGGTAAAGGCGTGCTTTTCGATTTTCATTTTCATTCCACTCTTTGCTGGTGGTGCTGTAGTCCAACACGCCCATATATTCGCATGGCTCTGGTGTTTCCGAGAATGTTTCAGTCTACAAGGATGAGTTACGATCTCCCTAGTCGTCACTGCTCACTGCCATGCTTAGTCTTTACAATAACCTGGAATACTCATGTACTCTTCTTTTTTGACCACGCTTTTAGGACACTGTAATTTAATGCTTCATTGATTTGCGCTTAATATGAGACTTTATGTTGTAAATTCCTTTAGCCTTTTTTCTCTAATTATGTAGCAGCATGCAGCATGCGTGTCCTTAAGGCTTTTCGGTTGGAAACTGATATTGATCATTGTTTTAGACTGGTTCCTTAGCCTGTTTTTCGAGTGATCGATCATACATTGTTTGTATGTGCTAAGAAACTGCTGCACAAATTGAATGTCGGTAGATTTTTGCCAACGGTCAATGAGTTGTAGACTGGTTATCAACAGTGGGACTTCAGGGAAGTCGGTTACAGAACGTTTCTTGTACTCGAAGCACCGGATTTAATAACACAGTATAATCGTATTCGGATTTGCGTTCGATATGAATTTCTGCCACAATGAATGTGTCTACACCTCTCATTACTGGTTGGTTGCCCTTCCGCTAACCTTCTTTTAGTGAAGAAAATGTATACAAACTCGTGGAAGCTATGAAATTGAGAGATTCATCCTTTGAAGTTTATGTTGTTTTCATATCAAATCATGCAAAGTAATCTATCCTTATTGTCGTTAAATATTCCTAACAGGAAAGTACCATTGTTCTTCCAGAAGAGCGGTAATCCTCCAGAGGGGTATGTAGTGTGGGTATGACATCTTTGGCTGTATTGATTTTAAATAGGATTATCACGTTATTGCCGTCGGGCGTTTAAATCTGGAGTACAACTTTTGGGTCTATGATCTAGACACCACTTTGGAGTTCCCATGTGACGTGACTCGTTACTGGTCCAAGGCAATCAGACCCAATTCCATGTTTGATCAGAAGTACGAGAGGTCTGTGGATTGCAGGCTTCTTCAATAGTACAATCATTGACAAGAGATTCTGTGTTTTTACCCTCGGTCCTCCTATTTTTTTAGTTAATGTGTCGCTATTTTTATGCGTTACGTTTAGTTACTTTTTCATAGTGAGTAGGGTGGTTGAATTTTGGATTGTTAACATTGATTACAGATATTTTCGGGTTGTGGATGGGAGTATTTATCTTCGCCATTTCGCCTCCGATCGGAGCCACATGCGCAGCTCCGTTGGTTGGCTGGCACCACCTCCGACATATGAGGCCATCCGCACATCCGAGTCATCTCACAATCTTCCCTGCTACATTGATTTTCCTAAACCCGCCGAGTGCTTTGATCACTGTGTGAATAACCAGTTGAAGTTACTGCCTTTTGGTACAGTACTCACAGAGGCCGCTTTTTGCTCATTTTTTGCGATAAAAGATTGATAAGCTCCTTCACAAAATGACTTTGGAATACCAAAGTATTGGTCAATATGTGTTGCCTTCTTTATGCGAGTTTGTATGGATCTGAGGTCTGTTGAGATAATGTTAAACCACCCCTTTGATAGACATTTTTCCGTCCATCAAAATATGCACTTAAATGGAGAAAGATCTGAAATCTGATGAGTCGTTTCGTCTTACGCAGGCTAGGTTCATTCCTGCTTGGTGGTGTCATCAGGTGTGGAACTTGACCTAGGCTACGGCAGAGCTTGTAGCTTTAGGCTGTCATACTTGGTGAAGCGTGTACTTCAGTGGCGTCATTCTTTTTACATGTGCCCACCCAGCTGATGAGCAAATAAATGTTAGTAAAATCTCTAAATTCGTTTGTCAGTCAATGATTTCTATCGCTTTCACATCAAGATTGACGTGAGGTTACCAGGATACAGTTTCGACTTCACATTTTTGGTAAGTGAAATTTATACCTTATCGAGGGAGATCGATTCAAAGAGATCGCTTCATTATTGCTTAACGGTTCAGTCGTGGACTTTACAAACGTGACGGCTGTAAAATGGGGAAAATGCTTCATTTGTACAAAAAGTATTTACGTGAACTTGGGCGGGCGGACATTAAGTTTATGCTGTCACAATCGGTTTTGAATCAAAGGGAAACTTGAGAATAGTTTTGTGATGTCGCTCATGTTATCTTAACGTGCTGTAAGCATCGAATTCGATTGGCTTCTTCGAAAGAAGGCGACTTCATTCATCATATTTTGTCGCTGTCACAGCACCTGCTGACGTGGTCGAACTCTATGCGTACTGTTTTCCCACATCACTCCGTGCGCAAAGTGCTTATCAGTCTGCAAAATAACTGTCAGGTTCCATTGAGAAGAAGCGCTGGTCAAGTTCCAGAAGTGCTGACTGTGGGTAAAAAGCATCCACTAAGGCGGAATTTGTTACTGCGGGAAACCCTGGTCAGACGGAAATTTCGATCTAAATTTATGGGTGCTTAGATGCTTATGAATGACAGAAGAAATCCTTATAACTTCCTCTCTGACGACGTTACAGGCTCAATTTGGTGTTGTGTTACCCACTGCTTCTGCCCTTGTAAAGTTACTATTAATCTCGTAATAAGACCAAAAATCAACCATAAGCAAGGACAGTTATGCAGCCAAATGGCAATAATACTAAGGTCTCGTTTTCACCATATAGTGACAAGGTTATGTCTTGGTAGCCTGATAAAGAGATGCTTAGAAAAGTGTGCTGCTTAAGGCATTCAAAAATCGAAGCTCAAAGAGTCCTTTAGTAAGGTATGATAATAATGGTTAAGTTAATTCAAAGTATTTTTACCGATCTATTTGATTTTAATCCAATCATCGAAACCCATTTGAATCCGTTTTTATATGTAATTTCCCACACGTTCGTAAACATGTCCTCTTCCAACCTCTCTTATAGGGCTTTGTTAAGTTCCCTGTATCAGTCTACGCACCTGCTAGTTTTTATGGTTCCGTGCCAATTATCTCTTTTTATTCGTCAGTAAGTCCGATCTATCAGGTGTTAATCAGTCAGGACGCATAGGTAATGGTCATCCAACCATCCGTAGCATTATCAGCACATCCTCCCTCCCACTTATGCTAACACATGCACTCGCGCCCAGGCGAGGCGGTGAAAAGAAGTCGCCTTCTTTCCTTCTCTTATCGCCTCGCTCATACCATGAGGCCTAAGGGGACACCTCGTCATCAGTCTCCATTGGAGGTAGAAGGGATGGCGATGTTTTAACTGCCCCTTCTAGTGTCTGGCTGGAGCCAAAAACAAGGGCTAATTTTATGTGTCGATTATAATCTAGCTCCTTCCTGGTTTTTGACTACGAAACAACAATTTAAAATAATCCACCGTTGTCTTTGTAATGATGGAAACACAAAGGAGTGATTGCCCTGATCGAGCAATTCGATATCAGATGTCCAGCTTCTAAGTGCTTTGGCTGATGTCCCTTCCTACAGCAGTTTATGTCAGAACAACTCGTACAAACAAGGTTCCAATGGTATACATGTCTTGCAACTCCTTTTGCTAAGCAAGCTAAAGCGAATGGCTAACTGAAGTTTGTGCCACTGCTCCCATGAAATCGTTTGAATAAATGATTAAAAAAGGGAAAGTAAACGCTTAATCAGATGATTAGCAGTGGCAATATATCGCTTCGGGTGGGGGCTTTACGCTCGACCGACGATGACTGTGGTCACTTGACCACAGCTTCACCATTTGATTGCTAAATATCCATAGTTAGCATCCTCAGCCCTTAAAGTGGCCAGTTCGCTTGTTACGACAGAGTAGCAACCAGTGTAATGCTTTATTGAACCATCGTCTGCGAAGTGGAAAATCAACCTAATTCCAAATTTCGCGTTATTATTTGCATAAGTTTGCTGAATGCCATAAGCACAACAATTAAGTTTAAGTTGCTTAAATTTGAGAAGTAATGATTAGTCAACAGATAATAAGTTGCATCAAACGCCGTTTGACCAAACCTAGAGAAATTTTGGGTTTACATAAATAGCTTCTGATTGCAAATTATGTGATGCTTCTGGTGCTAAAACTCACGTTGCACTTTCTTTTCAGAAGTTGCAGTTTTTTGCTGCGGTTGAGAATGAAAAAATAAATTCCATACTGCAAAATGAAGAAAATCAGTGCACTTTTTTAAACGACAACCAACAGACGTACTCCTAATTATTTCTTATTTATGTAGCTCAGCAACACTACATGGTAATTTTCGTAGGCTTTACCTTAGGATTTTTGAACAAATGTATGCCTCCTTGCTTGTAAACAAAGTCTCACGGTAGCGCATGAATAAGCCAATCCAAGGTGCGCACGCGCCACATAAACCAATAAGCACACAGAATTCGGTCGGATGGCCACAACGGAAGCCATTTTGACCAATAAGTTGGCGACCGAGATTTCTCCCCCTTATTTTGCTATCCACTTGTGATTTATACAGCAATCACAATTTTGTTGAACGACATGACCATTGGCTTTGAAATGGATCTTGAAGAGGATTCTAAAACGATCGGTGAGTCTACGAACCCTTCAACATATTTATAGCTCCTCAACTCTTATCTCCGTATAACATCAAATATTGAATCCCTAATTGATTGTTCAGGTTATTGGCGCAGTCGATTAAACTCCTGCTCATCTTAAGCACCTAATCACCACGAACTAATGTTATTATCTTACACATTTGACCATTTCAAAGACGCAATGCCCCAAATAATTTCAAGTAGAGCCCATAATCGAGTACTGCTCTGGAATTAAGATTGCTGCTTCATGGAACTTTTTTGTTTTGATGATCATAAATTTGGTTATCCTCACTATATTACAATGTTTGTGGTTTCTATTCAGATCAAACTCAACATTGATGCGCAAATTATCAAAATTGGAGAGATGTGAAATGTCCGAATAGAGTTAATTGTGATGCTGTTTTAGTTACCTTATTTTATTTTGTGGCACTGCCTTTAGGGTAATTTAGGTCTAAACAACGGCAATGATTTCAGGTCGAATTTAGTCTGCACCCCATGCTTAAAAAGTGGGACTCCAAATTGTTAATCCTCCACTCCTTATGACGTGTACATTATGCGATAGCTTTTGCATTTGGATTTGATCTCCAGTACACAAAAAACGGTCTATTTTTTTAAAATAAGTCGCCCAAAACAGTATGGGAATTTTCTTCGGCTTTATTTTAGTGCTAACAAGCGTATAAGTTGATTATTGTTATGCTTTTGTTGGATTTCGGTAAAAATGGACAATATGATTCTTTTCAACCTTTGTTTCGCTTCTTCGATTAGTTCCAAACCTAGTTTTTACTCATTAGCTATGCTACGGATTAAGTCATTGATTCAGTTGGTAGGCCATCCTATTGGAGGTTCTTTATACATGCTCACATGGCTACCGTTAATCTTCTTTTTACATACAGTGGATCTTCCTTCTCTTCGTGCTTACATCTATGTGTTTTGTTAAAATGATGGGGTACAAATAAAGGATCCAGAAGAAGGGATCATGTTAGTTTGTTGTTCAAATAAACTGGATATATTGGAAGTGGCTACTGACGAACGGGTGGCACTACCTCCACCGTCACTAAGACCAAGAAACTTGCGAGTCACTGCTGAAAATGGGTGGCGTATGGACCCTAATTAAGTTTCCATCGCGTTGCCGCTTGTCATGGCTCAACTAGCGAAAGTGAAGGTAGCAGCGAAGGCGGGAGGGAGAGAGGCAAAAGCTGCCGCCAAGCGCCTTCCATTAACCTAATTAAATCTATCAGGCTGGGTCAATCAGGTAAGAAAAGGTGGACCTGGTTTCATTGGATAAAATTCTAAAGAAGTCTGTCTTTCTGCACAATCCTGATATAGCGCATAGCTCAACAACTACACACACGGCTCTAAAAAGGGTCAAAAGCAAAAATTATGTACCTTAGCCAAGTACTAACTGTGAGAAGCGCATCTGCTTATCCGAATCAGTAATAAATATCATTATTCTCGATAACAACTCAATGGCGCAGGAAGTCTGATCCGTATTAATTCAGAGTACATTATGCTGTGCAACATTTTTTTAAAATTTTATGCAATCTTTCATAAAAATGACATTTCTTTAATTATTGGCTCTTTTTGCAACAACACTTGGCAACATTTACGTCATAAATGTCGCTAATTTTCAGCGTTTTTTTAATACACATTTTTAAATCCATCAAATTTTTGTATTCGCAAAAGTGTTGAGGCCCAACTTAGCCTCCGCCACTCACAAACTTTGCGCATGTTAAATTGCTTGATCAGTTGAGCGTTTTCGATTTTGTAAAGGCATGGATCTGCCACAGGCATCGGCAATACCAACAGCAGGCACGGGGGAGGAGGAGGCAGAGGTCGTATGTTTTGGCTGCGGCTCGGCCATTTATGACCCCTTCATCATGCATGTTCAGCCTGACCTCAAGTGGCACGGAAGGTGTCTCAAGTGTCATAAGTGTGAGCGCGGCCTCAGTGACGAGACCAGCTGTTTCGTCCGCAACGGCAAGCCCTACTGCCGAGAGGACTACTGCAAGTACGACCTCTTACTCCACCACCTATTGCTTCACCTCTGATTTAGCTCTAGTACCAACAAAAGCACGAGAACACAACGTCTTTTACAAAAAAATATACACACTAACGCACTAAAGGTACTTGCGCTTACTCATGCGAAAACTTCATTCAATAGTGAGTCATCTTACAAACACGAAACAGTTAGCTTTGATAAAATGATCCTTGGTAATTGTGAAGATCTGACTTAATCTTGGCTGGGAAATTTTAATAACCTGGGGTTCAAGTTGTTTTGCTTTAAAGACTATCCCAATTGTTTGAAATGCGAAATAGCTTGCTATGAATTCTGTGCTGTTGTTAATTTTTGTTAACCCGATGCACTGTCCAACCTGCTCAATACATATTGGAACAGGTAATTTGTTAATGAGTTACCAAATATGTGCAGGTTTGTGGATATTTAATGCAATTTCAAAGTATGCCATGGATACAAACGAGTTTACTGCTCTGGCAAGACAGTGAGTTTTCACTGCTTTCCCACATTCTCTTTCACCTCCACACAATAATGCGGAAGCACTAGATTGAGTGCATTTGTCATCATGGTAAAATTTTGTTGGTTAACATTGAGATTACTTGAAGGCTCCTCTTTCAGGGACTATGGACAGGTTTATGTTACGTCTTCTTTCCTCATTTTTCTCCCTTTTAACAAGTGAGACAACATAAAGTTGGCTAATCCATAAAAGTTATGATTGGCTGGATCGTATATCTATCGTCAACATTCAAGTGGCAATTAGTTTAGACTAGTTTTGTTCCTTATTTATTGTTGAATTTTACGCTAATGATTGAGCACTCTGCAGCTAGAAAAGGTAGGCGGTTACGGCGATTTTCCAAACAGGTCTTGTCTTGAATACTTCGCAAGAAAGGCCTGATTTTAAATTTTGACAGATCATTTGACTCGAGTCAAAACTGAATCATCTACAATGACCGAAGAAAGTAAGGCTTCACATGCGGCTACGATCAGGAGTGTGTCTGATCAGGCATTTTTTCGTCAACCTATCAACGCCACAGACTGAAGGGGTTGGCGAGAGGTAAAATAAGGTGAGGAAAAGGGAACGAAAAGCGAGAACTACGTCAGGCATAAAAAATAGGCACGTCATCGGAAGGGCCAAGGAGTGCCACCTATAGTCCACAAATGGAGTCCTCGCCCCTCTCTCCCAGCATTACAAACACACGTGGATTAAATGGACCGATTTGGGAGCCATAGTCGCAGTCATATAAGAGGTAGATGTTGAGACTAATACCTTGTGATGAATCAAGACTTTAAGATGTTGTCTCACGCAGATGCAAATAAGTGAGCGTTTTTAAACAGCTGATAAAATTTAAAAGTAGATCACCTTCAAAATTAACGCAACAGAAAGGACATTGTTGAAGTTGACGTCCTGCTGATAATTTTTCTGGCTTTCAATGCCATTACTCACTGAGCATGTTAAAAATTTTACTCGAAAATTGAGTGTACACTAGTGAATTATTTAAGGCCAAAAGTCATTAATTCCATCATTACAGGAAGTGTGAGTTGGCCACTTTTTGTTATAGTGATTTGGCGACTAGTTTTATGAATTGCAGATCGAAATTTCTGCTCCAGTCTCTTCATCAAATGCATCACCTGAAATAATTTCGTGAGCGCTGGAGGAGGGGGGAGTGAGCCGAGTAATGCAGTGCATAGATGAATTTTACGAGCAAATGAAAAGAAACAAAGACGCGTGTACTGACACTCACGCAGTCACAATGTTGGGACGTTGCGCTCTTATCGCCTTAAATCAAGGCCATTAATGGCAATTCACTTGTCCCTACAGGAGTCGCACCCCTCTCCCGTTTGGTAGCACTCATGCCATTCCCAGGCAGGTGATAATGCAATACACTTTTAACGATGCCAATCTGGACACCACCATCCAAAGCTTATGTGGCGCCATATCAGGGCCAATGCGCTTTTTTCGAACAAATGAATTCTTTGCCTGCAATACCAAAAATAGAAACAATCTGGCGCAACGCTTAGAATCATTGTTAAGCTGCAATGCCCATTTACTATTCGTTTCCGAGCTATAGTCTTATAGTGTATTGCAGAATGGCATGGCTGATTCAACTAAAAATTTCAAATAGACTTCACGTGAAGATATCGAAGGCTTGAAATTCGGTCACTGCTTTGGGACTCGCATCTGCGTTCGAGCCTTCAACGTTGTCGAAGGTCTTTGGTATGTTGTGCTGACAAGTGATCCATTCGCGTAACGGAATTCGAGTCTGGGCAGGAAGAGTTAAAAAGGCGAATTAACAGTGTTTGTGTGCGTGATGCTTACAGTAGGCTAACACAATGATCGTCCAACACCAAAGGTGATTTTAGCATTCCATGTAGCACCATTACCTCACTTACGATTGAACAGCAAAAAGGTTCTGTGCTTCCATTACTCTTGAGACCAAAAAAGACCTGCAACGGATGGAGATGATTAAATTAATGTCTACAAAAATCCATCAATCAATCCTCTCCATTCTTCCCTATTTATTAGCCTCAAACCATTGTCGCATTAATTCTCTACCCACTCTTAAGTTAGAATTTTAAAAGGGCAGTGTTTACTGGAATCCGTGGAGTATTTAATCGTGCAGTTGAAGTTAGACGAGCCTTTTCATACACAAAAATTTTTAATCAAGTGAAGGCTCCGACATATGTACACCTAAGGCTTCTTATTCTGCAAAAATAGATGGGAATTATTACACAGTAAATATCTAAATGTATTTCGTGAACAAGTAAGTGAAGTAAAGCAACGCGCTTAAAGTTAACTTGAAGCGATAGTGAAACCTCACCTAAAAGGAGCGCGAATTCCCCATTTTAATTATTGACGAGAATCTGATGGGTGGACGGATTGCATGACAGGAAACTGATCCATTACGGAAGCTTACTTGCAAACAAAGACGCTCCTCTGAAAGCATAGGGTTTGTCTGGCCAAAGCCACGGTTCTGTGTAAAAATCAACTCAAGGATATAGGAGAACACCTCGTAACTAAAATAAATTAATCCCACTTATAAAAAGTCTGTGGCACAAATTTTGTTCCGTTAAAGTAGCATTAACTTCTCTTAATTTAAACAGTTGTGCATTTTTAAAGGTCAAATTCGTAGTAATCTTTCTCATCAGGAGCAACATGATCTTGAACAAAAAGAGAACTTACTGTTGTGTACGACAGATCGTTTCACCAAGAGCCATTTAAAATTGAGGTGCTGCATGTCCTCGCCACCTTAAATTAGTTTTATTATTTATCGACTATAAAGTTACTCTTTGGTAGTTCTTTTTTGGACGGCCAACTACAAATTTAGTGACTTTCGTCCCCAGCAGTAGTTTCCTCCAGCGCTGTGCGGGTTGTCAGCAGCCCATAACCAAGGTGGATCTGGTCCTCCGGATTCGCAACCAGACCTTCCACATGGGCTGCTTCCGTTGTGTGGTGTGCTCTGCCATCCTCCAACCTGGGGAAGAGATCGCCTATCGTCGCGATATGCCCTACTGTCTGCGAGACGCGAAGCTGACAATGCCAGAAAAGTGGAATCTTCCTCCACCTACCGTGTCTAGCACCGCCGCTCTCATGGAGAATGAAGCTGCTGAGCCCAAGGTGCTCACTCTCCTATCGCCGGTAATCCCCTCGTCCACCTCAAAGTCCACCGAGGACCAACAACAACAGCAACAACAGCAACAGACGCTAAAATTGGTGGATGGTAGTGAGACGGCAACTTATTTAAGTCCCCAACCACCCCATCGTACGAGGTCAGACAGCACTTCCAGCTCCCTTGATGGTCCGATGGGAGAAAACGGTATTTGCCTCCTTAATCATAAAACACACTTCAGACCACCATTTTGTTTAAGTGATAAATTTTTCACAACCAATTTTTTATAAATAATTATGTGTCCTATTCTCAGTGAATACGTACCTCGTTGAATGGTCAGTTTAAGGAATCACTGATGCTAAGATCCTGTCAACAGCTAGGTGGATTTGCCCACTAATGTGAACTCAATCTCTTTGCTTGCCACCTTTACCTAAATGCCGATTTTTACACCTCATAGTCAGTTTACTTTTTAATTGCTTCTTTAATTTTACTTAGACATTCGTTTCTGGAGCGAAAAACTTCTACAACTTGTTGATGCTCAAATACGTTAAAAGTTGGTTGAATAGAATTTGCACTATGTTTGAAAAGCTACAAAAGGACACTTACTTGGGACACATATAAATACACATATCCGTGCGCTCCCTATAACATCAGATAGGCGATGACTTAGGTCCAGAGAGGCGTTTATTTGGCTTGGAGACCGGCAAACACAAGCACAGACCTTCGTTCCACATCGAAAGCTCAACAGCTGGGTGTGTGTGTGTGTGTGTACAAACCGACACCCAGTATAAATCACATCCATCTAATCTCACTTGCTCCCCCTTCCCTCCTCTACTTCTACCCCCGACTTACCCGTGATTCTACTCTTGGTCAGTTGCTAAGCCAAACCTTGAGCATTCAGTGTTTCTCAGCGATCCCTGTGGGAGAGTGAAACCCGACCGCATAGTTACAAGCCAACAGGGAGAAAGAAAGAAGTGAGACCCCTTGGTCCCTCTCCTTCATTCTCCCCCTCTTCTCCTAGGCCACGTGGCATGGATCCCATACAAGGGGGTGGTGAAGGTGTAGTTTACCGTACACGCTGTATCTGGTCTGCGGTATCTCGTCGCGACACGTGCAAAGTTACCTATGAGTCCATGGGCTAGCAACCAGTATGGTCTGCAAAAATCATAGCCGGTCTAGACTCATCTTCTTTGACTCCACTTTGCATGTTTTAGCCTTCATCGCAGAGGACAAAGTGCATGTGTTCTCATTGCTTCGGTCATGCGATGAACTCTCAGGTGCTGCTGAATAGTCCGGCTGACATAACATTTGTTGTGCAGCCTTCTAATAAATCACTTAAAACGCATGAATTAATTCCAGAAATGTGAGGAACTTTGGATTTTCAAATGCAGGCACACAGTAAATCGAATTTGTTCGTGTCTCTGCAAGTTCCTTAACCGCTAAGAGGGGAATGAATAAAACGCTAAGTTGAAAAACCAACAGGGAGGTCCGTAAAAATGTAATTTTGTGTCGACATGGCTCACTATTCCGGTCACGAAACCCACAATTGAATTCTATAACAACGAAATTAGAAGATGAAAACTTTGGTCTTTTCCTTTTAATCCTAATCTTTTGCAAGGCCCCTTTGCCGATGGTTGCAATAAAGTCATCTTCATGAAACCTATGAGTCCGCACCCATTTTCGTTGTCCTCGTTTGGCAGTTAAAGGTGAACAATCATTTTGTGGGATTGTTTTAGGAGCTTTTACAGACACGCGTCAGTGATTGTTGGGTTTCATTTGCAAAAAAGATGTTAAGTACAAAAGATTTCACATTGTTGCGTTGATGTTTTCAGCAAAAAGGTGTTATCAAACTAACAAAATAACGGCAACTTCGCTCAGCATATTACCATAAAAGCATGAAACAAAACCGATTTGTAAATAGGCAATTTGAAGTACCAAAATCACCATAGGATTCAGCGAAAAGCAACTGTACAACGGATACATTATGAGAACAAAAGTGTAGTTTGTAAAGCACTCTCAATGTTTACAATTCAACATTTTGCATTCTTAAAAGGAAATTCAAAGCACTTTTCTGTTTCAATCCGTCGTTAACATGGCACCAATTTTACAACTTTTTGACTCCATACTTATTTTCTTCCCACTCATCGAGACGTTCCAATGACCCCAAACTCGGAGGGCAGTCAGGACGAGGACGATTGTAGCAGTTTGTTTGGGTGTATGACTTCGGCCGCAGTCTCGTGTCTAAGCGGCGACACTTCTCAGCAGCACACCAACTCCGCTCTCAATGGCGAAACTCCGTCTATTCAATCGACAACTAACTCAACGGCCGGACACAACCATCTCGTACGAAACGGCAGTGGAGGTGGTAAAACCGGAGGGAAGCGCTCCAAGGAACAAAAAACCACCAGGGTATGCCTTTTAACTCGGTTTCTCCCATTTATCAAGATGATAGTGGACTCTTTAAAAGGTCTTGGTGAAACCAGCGCAATTTCCGCTTGGCTTCTGCAGATTCGAATGATCAATACGTGGACAGGTCGCGACCTCAGTCACCACTTCGACGCCTATTGATCAAGTCCAAATTCTTGTGGTTTTCACACCAAAATCTCCGCCAAAAAAGAAAGAAGGAAAAGGTTTTTGTCCAAAATTGTTATCAGGCACGAAGTTTTCCCCTTCTGGCTTTGAATAAAGTCGAAAGAGAACCAATAATAAGTCAATGTTTGATCGTTTGACTCTAAAAACTGCCGAATGGTGGATTATTAAACGACCTTGTCAAACTCACATTTGAAGCAGTTGCGGGCAAAGACTCGGGCTAGTCGATTGCCTTCATGTTTCCCTTATCGAATTTTCCACATAAAACCACCTCTTGTGGATAAGCGCTTCAAACCTCTGCCTATTCTTCCAAATTTGTGTACTAATATGTATCATATTGAAAGGTTTAATTGAGGTCAGCAGTGAATTTAATGTCCGTTCGAGTGGAATTGTACGTCACTTCCGTTGGTGCTATCACTATCCCGTTGCCATGACATCCGGCTAGACCTCTGCGACCAGGTTGCCAGGGTGCCATATTTGATACTGGAGTTGAATTGCAAGGGGAAACACCATTTGCCTTGCGAGGCATGACAGGCGGTATGGAAAATCTCCACCTTCCAGCTGTTTGCGCGACGCTGCATTCGAGGCCTAAGATGCAGACAAGCGGAAGGGAAGGGGGGAAGTGGAGATAGGGCGGAGGGAGACTTAGGGGCCAAAAGGCTACAATCCGTGGGCCGTGTGATATATGATAAGCTGTCGCAACTGTCACCACGGCAGTTGTCGCCGTCGCTGACCCTGGTTCACACAAGGTCAGTTTAAAAACGCTGTTTACGCAACTACAATAATGCCTCTTATTCGCATGAGAAGTGACTTTTGTTTAACAGGCAACTCCTCTAAAGGTAAGAGAATGTGTAAACAAAAATGGCCTTCAAGAAGACTTGATCGTAAATCATTAAAGTTCTTTCATGCAGTACTTAACAGTCTGATTTATGTGATCTTCTTGCGCCAGGTAGTAGTACCATCACCAGCGGTCCACTTTCGTTTTATTAAACTTAGTAAATCCTTCAGTATTAGATCGACATTCTTCTCATAAACGGCATTATTTCCGGAAACATTCTTTAGTTTAACTATGATTGTATGAATCCATCAATGTATTTGATGTGGAATCTTCTCACGCATGCCTACGACCCTACATAAAACACATTAAATTCAGTCATTTTTAAAATGCTCAAGCACAGGCGGGAAACCTTAACATGCATTGGTCTGTGTTCTGTGTGAAAGGCTACCCAAGGAAAGTTTAATAAAATGTCACCGATTGGGGGCAATATCCTCCTCACCTGTGTCACACCGATTATCAAGGCGGTATTTTTGCATTCCCCGCCAATAATTGGGTTATTAAGTACGGATTTGAGATGCAACACCCACAAGCGAGCTTTCATCCCCAATGGGCAGGTGAAGTCATTAAAATTAAAACTTGGGTAAATATATGTCCCCACTAATTTGGTTTATGCGGTTTGTTGAATGATTAGATCCATCTTGTTTTGACAATATTTCAGAGGCGGTATCCAGCCGCAATTTGATGATTAGAATTGCACAAAAATCACAAGGTAGGAAAGGCGGAGGCATTCCACAAACATCCTCCAAATCGTATGCATTTAACACAAGCCAGGGTTGTGCTTCAAACTAATCATTTCGTTACTCCTCTGGGAGATGTTTTGCCCTTTTGGCCAGGCCTTTACTTGTGAACCAAATTTACGTCAATGTAGATTACTCATTTGTGTGGGCTTCCCCTCAAAGGCCCTGCTTTTGAACTCTTCGAGGCGTCTGAAGCTGGTGTATGCCACTCACAACACCTAAGAGCTTGAAAGCTAATGTTGCGCATTGACTTTTCAGGTACGAACAGTGCTAAATGAAAAGCAGTTGCACATGCTGCGCACGTGTTATGCGGCAAATCCTCGTCCAGACGCCTTGATGAAGGAGCAGCTGGTCGAGATGACTGGCCTCAGTCCTCGGGTCATTCGGGTCTGGTTCCAAAACAAGCGCTGCAAGGACAAGAAGAAGCAGATTATGATTAAGCAGATGGAACAGCATCATCAGGTGAGGCATGCAAAATTCCCGTTCCTAACGTCAGGTCTGTTTGGCGCATGACTAGAGCGTAACTGCTCGCTAATTTTTTTGATTCGCTCGTACGAAGCAACAAGGAACCCATCATTTTCAGCCAACTCTCGAAATTCGGTTCTTGCACTATCTAGTTTGAAACATTGTGACCGACTAGAGTTTGCCTCTGTTTATAATAAGAGGCAGTTAGGCGATTTGAAATGGGAGGGTAACGTTGGAGGACGCCTGTGCATTCGGTCTAGTCTAATGATAATCGAACCATAGCAAAATTCAAGCAATTTTATCCGCTAATTTTCCATTCTTAATCCGTACGAGTCGACGATTTAGAGGATACGCGTGTCCTTTCATGACAAGCAGGTCCACCGGGTTGAAGATACGTCGTTCAACTTTAAAACAGCAGAAAAAATCTTATTCCCCTCACTCATAGAGTGCCCGAATATTCGCTTTATAAAACTAATTTGTACAAATAATGTATCATAATTACTGAACCTGTTTAGTTGGAGTCACGTTGATCGCTTCTGCTTCATCAATAATAGGCCGTCTCCATGCGTCAAATTTAACAGCACTCCTTTAGCTGACATTGAGAAGTTTTGCTCTCTATTTCGGAGAATTTAAACCAAACTTAAATGACAATAGCTTTACTGGCCTCTTGAGCCATTCCACGAAATTCCAGAAGGGGATGGATAAGACATGTGTCAGAAAATCCTTTTAATAGTTGTCGAACAAAAAGATGTCTTCTTTTCTTCTCATGACAGGCACGTTTAGGTTCAACGCGACTCCCTCTGTGACTGTTCCCCTTCTCTCCGGATTTGATTTTAAACATGGATTCTACGTCCTACCGAAGTAGATTAAGAGCACTGTGCTACATATTTTCTTCCAAAAGCTTAGGTTTAACTTCATCTTACAAATTATTTATGCAATTGCACCACCATATTCAAAGATAATTCTGATGGTAGTCTCCCATTTGGTCAAATAATCCTTTTTTCATGTGTGTTACAACAAGCAAAATGAGACCAATAAATGAAACCTAACCACATCCACATTTTAGTGCAAGACGAGCGTGGATAAGGTTGCCTTTTGCATTTGCTTTTCTCGATTGCGTTAGAATGGACTGCATCCCTGTGGATTACAAGGCGTTCCCATGGTAGCCGGTAGTCCACTGCCCAACGATCCGACCATGCTGTGTTCCAGCTCCGGAATCGAGGTTCAACGCATCTCCAGTGATAGCGGAGGAGGAGGCGGTAGTGGCGGGGGAGCAGGAAACATGTGCAGTCCTGCAAGGCCTGACGTCCACACTCCACCACCTTCATCTCAACCTCGTTTTTCCCCAGCCTACCCACCCCCGCCACCACCACCGCCGCCCTCACATCTCTTCAATGGCATGCTGCCTCCAATATCCCATGTTGAAGTAAAGCCATCTTTACCACACTCCTCCTCTACCTCCTCATCGTCGGCTCATCTCATGCTCTCCTCGTCCATGGGCTTACCCACTGGAGACGAGGGGCCTTTTCCACCCTTTCAACAGCTTGTGAGTGCTGCCATCTTTGAAAGTAAAGTCGTATTTATTAAAAGAACGGTTGTCAAAGTATTTACACTATGACTTTATTAGTCTCAAATGGCTTTTGAAAACGAAATATTCTTGGTGCAGCTAATGCTGCCTGAGAATGCGAGAAAATAAGACAGAATCAACTGCAAATTAGACTGTCACCGCAATTTTTCTGAGAGGGATTCAAGGGGTGACATTGTACACCTCTGGGCAATGCCGTGGAAAATTGTGGCTGAAAATATGTCCATTGTCCATATAACTGAATCGCTCCATGCATTCTAGTTCTTTTTCACAGTTAAAAGATTACTTTTTTTTGAAGAACTGATTGTCAGCGTCACTTTTGAGGGGTCCACCAAAATCATTTACGCGTTCATTTCAACGTTATTTTAGCAGGACGCAAGACAATCTCGTTAGCATTAATTAAATTTACAAGGTGAAATCGTGCCCAAATGAGGTGTTTAAAGTGTATCATTAATAATATTAAGTCTAACAACGAATTCTCTACGAAATTTGCACACACCATTTCCCTTGTTGCTAAGGTAAGTGGAAGACCATTAACAAGTTCCATCTCCCCTGTTAGTAGAGCTAAGCGATAATGCAATAGGATAGCAATAACCTTCATGACTAACCCCCGGGCTGATCGTCATGAATAACCAATAATATCAGAACTTTTTGTAAACTCATTATCCCGGACGTTCCATATCCTTCCAATAGCGTGTGTACGTGGAACAGACAACTCATTTTTGTTGGATAAGATCTACTCGCAATTCATTAGTGCTATCAAGTATTAGCATTCTCACACTTTATTAGTGAAAGCAGAGAATACGCATTTGGATTGAGTGAAAAAAGCGTTCTCGCATGAGCTCATAAAAACTCCGATATGCTCTCGGTGTTGGGACACGCGCCTACGTGCGTGCCCGTGAGCTCAGATATTGCCGCGCATGCGTAAACACGCCCAAAACAGCGATGTTAACAGCCCAACTAATTCTCTGTTCGATTCTGCTGCTGCTGCTGCCGCTGCTGCTGCTTCCACTGGAGGGGAGAGGAGGGGGAGCTGGGTGGTTGAGGCAACTATCTGAGAGCATGACGTGCACAAATACCAATACGCACTCTTTGGCCTGGAGTAGATTTCTCCCACTCCTCCTCGACTCCCTCCCGGCTTCTTCTAGACCATAAACTCTGCGCGAAAACGCATTAACGTGATGAGGTGGTAGGAGAGTTGAGAGCAAGGTGGGGAGGACAGAGAGGGGAGGATAGGGAGAGAGCAGAAGAGACGACCTTGCCAGGTGCGCGCACGCGCTGGGGGAGGGAGGAAGGCTGGCAGAAAGGCTGAGGGATGGGACATATAGCGCAGATTCTTCTGGGTGATAGACGTATACCCACGTCCTATGCTACCTGGGGAGAGGAAAGGAGAAGAGATTTTTAAGACGCAACCGTGCTCATCTTCACTTCACTACATCCCCCTTTTTCCCCCCACCTTAAGCATTCCATTAACGCGCTATGGTGGCGCGGTAAGGTCACAGCTGTAGGCGAGTGCATTAAACGCCTTTCTAATCTTTGCGTTTTCATCAGCAACAGAGTAGACAAGACTTAGACTTACATAGAGGGGTGGCAGCAAAATCGATTGCCTGCCACGTCTCTAAGAGCATAGCACTTGATTGTCATTAAATCATCGCATGTGATAAAGCGTATCCTTTCATGTTCTGATAGGTTTCAACTAATGGCAAACTTTCCGGTTAGCATTTGCGGGCGTGGTCATACGGACTTTTAAGATACATTTTTTGAGTAAGTTCAAATCAAATTTGCCTTGAAGTTGTCAAAATTTAAGGCAAATACTAACATCTGATTTTGCCACAAGCAATGGAAGTTCATGAATGCCTGTTGCACATGCAAAATTAACAAAATAGACTTTCATGCAGTTGTCCCATTCTTGCGATCACTTTAAAGGTGTCAACATTTGACCTGATGGACCCATTGCAACGGGGCCAGCCAGGACACGAGGACGGTTTCGCAACCGGAAGTCGTTTGTCTTACGGCCCTCCGGGTGGTCCCAACGCTCCTAGCAATGGCCCTCCTGCTCCCACCGCCGTCGTAGACGGGCCACCCTTTGTCTTCCCCATGGGTGATCCCACATTCACCACCCTTCGACCAATCAGTCTACGACCACCCTCTCTTTCCACTTAACTCTTTCCTTCCCATTCCCCACCGCCTCGATCCTACCGCTCCCAGCCCGTCCCCTAACTGATGTGATATACCACTACTGCCAGCCTTCAAACAGTTCTTTGGGTCACTTTTAACTATGAAGTATGGTGTCAAGTCCTTAGTAAATGCATCCCGACAATATATGGACACTTATGCAACACTTCGTACCTATTAAAAGCTTCTTTAAAGATAGAGACTGTTAAGCAGAAATGTGACTGCATTAACAGAGCAAATATTTTTACTGTTGTTTTTTTCCTTATTGCCTTATAGGTGGGTTATTAATTAAAATTGTGATATAATTACCATCAAGTTGTTAGTAAACGCTTCGCTCTTTAATCATGTGTCAGTTGTGAAGAGGATTCTCTTTCACTTTTACCCCAAAATATGAATTGCAGTTTTGCGGATCGAAAAGTGAGAAGGAGTTTGTGCTTTATGAATGAGGCGGTATAATCGTGTCCTTATAGAAAATTTCACACAGCCAAGTTAAAAATAAAATTAGTGCTTAAAACTTTTTAAGTGGAGTAGTTTTGAACATGCTTTTTGGCTCAATAAGTTTAGGCTAATTGACTGCTTACGACAGTAAAAAATCACTCACTAATGGCTTTTTAGCCGTCTTCCCAAATTCATCAATTAGGATAAAAACAGTAAGATCGACTGCCGCACCACTCCGTGCGTTGACATGGGCAATCCTATTCGGGCCAGCAAAAGCCTAATTGGCCGTTGGGTCCAATGAGGGGAGGGGGAGGGGGAGGGGAGGGGGAAAGAATGTGAGGAGGGATAAGCGAAACCTACCAGAGACAAAGCTCCAGAGGGAAGGCTCATGACTGAGGGCAGCGGTGCATTTTCAACGGGCTACGTCGTGTTTTCTTTTTCCTCAAAACAAAAAAAGCTGTAACATTACAGCACTGTTATGAAAAAAAACAGAGCAGCAAAAGAGCTGAAGATGGTTTGGTCATTTTAAACTCATTTAAAAGGTGTTTTTTTTGGGGGAGGGGTAACTTCTGGCTCTAAGAAGCAAGTGGCGTTTACCAACATTACTAGACAGTTCTGCAGGTTGACCACATAGTCGTCTCTATGACAATCGAAATTCCACCGCAGCACACACGGCCTTCAAGGCGGTTGGTCTTAAGTAATTTTTTGGCTCACGTTTTCTTGTTCGGTGTTAAAGACGAGCCATAGCAATCAGCTCGTACACTAAATCAGCAGTGATATTTTAACAATAACAACATTACTTAATAATAAGTTCTATTAGTCAAGTGGTTGTATAAAGTGATTTTATGCAAATATTGTGCTTCAGAGGTTTGGGTGAAATTGAAGACATTTCTTTGTGCATCAGCGCGTTTTAAATAAAAAATTTTGCATGCATAAAAAAATATTGAAAAATTTTACTTTAAAGAAATGGTAGACGATCTCAACGGAGGCGGAAGCGAAGCGCACTTTGCGACCCTGTGTCTTTTTATGAAGTGGTGGACTGGCACTTTCCCTGCATCTTCTTAAAGCCACTCTTACCACCAAAACTGTCTGTTACAGACTGTAAAGGCATCATCTTGTATAATTTCTTTGTTTGACATCTTCACTGTCAGCCAGTGGGGCAGAGGAATTGCATGCGTTGGCTGTGCCGCGTAATTGCTTGCAAACTAAATTTAAGCGAGTCAGTAACGCTGGTCAGCAATGTGTGTGTTAAAGCCACTTTTGAACTGCACGAGGCTTTATATCCTCCGATGGGATGAAACCGTGCGTTGACATCTGATAATTCACCACCTTCTGACAGGCAGGAAGCGTGCGGATTGAGAACCGCACTAACAATTACCACCCTGTTGGCCCAGGAGTTGGCATCCAAGATTCTGTCAACCATCCATTGTCAATGCATAACTGGTGTTAAAGTGCAATGAAAGTTTAAGGCAATTTTTTTGCTTTCGCATGCATGAAGGCGTTATGGCAAGCATGAACAGATTTAATGGGACATCAGCGGTGCAATTGACTCTTTAAGGCGAAATGAACGAATTAATAAGTCAGGGAATTTGGATAAAGTCAGCTGTTACTGTTCGCCCAGTTCGACAGCGGGGGGCAGGCACTGAGGAGGAGGAGGGAAAGGATGATCGTGATAACAGCAACAGCTGATAAAGAAAACGCATTCCTCCAATGTATTTATTTATTTCATCCTTTCATCTATTCTACGCAGACACTCAAAACCAACTGCGCTGAACACGAACTCGCCAATAGCTTACAAGAGATAGCTTTTGAAAATTCTCACAATGCCTGTTGAATCAACAGAAGTGTTTGAGCCTGTCTCAAGGAAAAAAATGCGTTCGGAGTTTTCATAAAAAATCACAATTTCTTTCCATAACTCTGACTTACATCATTGTATTGTTACCATAATTTTATTGCCATTATTACTACTTCACACGCGCTTGCGAAGGGAGAAGGGAAGCACAGACGCACGCTTTAACGCTCACAAACTAACTCAACGAGAGGGGAAGGGTGAGAAAGGGAGGCGTTTGTTTCAGATTCCATTAGCGTCGCCTTGGTTACTAAAAGCTTTGGAGCCTGTCCGTTCCTTACTCGGTCCCACCTCACTCTGCTTCGGGCTTTATCCTCATTCCCCCATGTGGCCCTGTCACGGGGATTGGGAGCGGAAAAGGATACCGGGGAAAAGGAATTGTTAAGTGTGGAGTTCGCCCGTAGTTACATAATAGCATGTGGACACGCGGGAGGAATGGCAAGTTGTGCACAAGAGCTATTTTAACACAACGTTCTCCAGTGAATCGTGTTCGACACTTCCCCCCTCCCTCCTATTGTTGACAACGCCATGACTCGCACTAACAAATTCAAAATAATAGATTGCCCTCATTTATGTCTCTCCTTACTACTTCTAGAAACAGCAATTTTTGAAGCACCTTTTTATTATATTTTTGAAATAGACTGGGGAGCAATTCATCGGTAGTCCAGGTGATCATAATGCGTCGACTATGCATCTAGCTGAACCTTTGACAGATAGCCCAGATTGCAATTCGATATGCAACCGTCACAGTTCTTATGTTGTTAACATTGAGGAGTGATTTACACCTTCCCAGTCTTTAATTTAGCTTAAAATGCAATGAAAATGCCTTTACAAACCTTGTTTACAGCTGATGGCTGAGATGTACGCAGCTGTCAGTTCTGACGATCGGTTGCGCAGCCGTAAAGTACGAGGTGGACATTCAAAGACGTTGCGTCTTTCATCAGTAGATCCAAGTATTAGCCTCACCCTCATGAGAGTGATTCAGGTATTTCAAACCCACATGCATTTTTTTTTCTCGAGCAAAAACTGAGGAAAAACAGGGAAAAATACCTGTCAAAACCAATTAGTGAGCGAGAGCAGCAGTTTTGACGAAATATGCTGTCACATTCAGTTCAAGTTTTGACGCTTCAAACTTGGGGAAGCAATTTTGAAAAGCGAAATGCACAAGTTATAAGGAAAAATTTTACTGTGTAAAAAAATTAGCATTGTTTAAGCAAGCAAGAGGACAATTAGAGCAATTTTTCATACCATTAAACATAATTCCTAGCCAAAGTTACAATTTTGATGTTTATCGATGCATTGTTCAGGAAAAAGGACATTGCGCCTCCTTATCCCCCGAGCAATTGGTGTCGAGGTCAGCAGAAATCCTCATAAGAGCATGAGGTTCTATCAAATTCACTCCAAAGCTTTGAAATGCGACTTCAAAGCAAAACATCGCCAAATTATATTAGGCGACGTGTAATTATTTTGATTTATTTAAAGGAGTGAAGTGAATAGCGGTGTGGTAATAGGACTGAAATGTGAAAGCGAGTTGAGCCTACAACCAGCATTGAGCAAACATGGATCCACTATAAAGTTCCTTAAAAGATTTGTCGGCAGTGAATTTTAAAATTAATGGAGTAAAAATCCGCAATTTATAAGCGAATAGATGGATCGCATTAAAGGAATAAGTTCTAATGTGAGAGAGTTCGATAGAACCAAATGAAGTGGTTTAGAATGCAAGGTACAGTCTTTGGCAGGTGGAAAATGATGACTAAATGATTTGTGGGGATGAAAATGCCTAGAGTCTATGGAAGATAACGTGGACAAAGAACATTGTTCTTCGCTTTTAACCAAGAGGTATCGCACAGCCTCAGTACCAACTGAATTTAGGAGATTCAAATGGCGTTAAGGTGGCAAAAGTGATTAATAAAACCTGGAAATGTTGAAATGTCGTCTTAAATGGCTTTGGTAACAGGCATAACGTTCATCGAACATTATTAGGCTTGCAGCAAGGGAGTGGCTGCCTTTTTTGGTTACTTATGCTATTACCAGAATCAGAGCATCTGGGTCACAAATTTGTCCGCTCCGGTAGAAGAGCAGTGTGGGCCTCGTGACAGCAGTTAATGCTCAATAACTGGTGTTCTTTAATGAATGAACATGTCCCAACTTTTGTATCGGTCTCATTCGACACTTGTGTAAGGAGGTAATTTTGAGATTGTTAATTTTTTGCTTCGTACAACATTTCAGATACGCTGGACATTTCTTTGAGCTCATTTATTTGGTTGATTTAGAAATGACTTGCCTAATTTTAGCCGAATAATGATGCCAAAGAGTTCAGCAAAGCCAAATCGACTTTCTCTTGATTAATTTTTCTTTACAAATATCATAGTTGCATAGAATTTACAATACCTCCCTATAGCATACACAACTAATAAATAAAATATTTGTAATTGCTTTTTCTTCATTTGTAGGTTGTTGGTGGCTTACTGGGAGGCATTCATCAGCAGTAGGGCAGTGGAAGTGTTCACGATGTTGGTAGCTTTGTGAGTAATGGACCAGGAAGCTTGGTTATGCCTAACCCACATTCACCGTTTCAAAGTACGCAGCGAATCGTCAACCTGCTTCTCAGATAATTATTTCTGCAAGCCCAACCTTAAGTACTTTTAGCACTGTACATGGTTCAATAGTCAAATCGTGAAGGTAATTAACATATTCTCCTTATTCCGCAAAGTAAGCTTTCCCATTTTCCTAAATTCCTCAAATCACTTATCTTCTCTCTTCCCATGGCTCCTACGGCTCGGCCAGATATAAGGCACGACCGATATACCTCACTGCCAGTGGAATGCGGGGGCAAATCCAACATCTTGGTTTGGGGAAGGGGGGGAAAGAAAGTAAGGTAGGGGGGAGAAGGATAGGGGATGGGCAGGAGGAGGGGTGGAGAGCAGATACCCGCGCACCCTTGTGTGGATGTGTGTCAGAGATTGTGGATGAGTCAGGCCACTTTACCGGACTAGAGAAGGGTGAGGGGAAGCACCCACCATCAGCCGTCCTCACCTGAAGGTAATTTAGTTCCACGGCGAGTTAGAAGAAGGGGGACAGCAATACAGGAGGGCATGAAAACTTACTCAAAATGCGAGTTACTCGTCGGTGGAGTTGGCTGCGCGTGTGCGCATGTCATGCTATCACCATTAAGAAGCGATAGGGTGGGGAAAGGAGTGGTAAAAGCGCAGAACTGCTGTTCTCTCCTACAATAAAATGGTGCTTCCACCGTCATTGCTAGCGTGTGTGCACTGTACGCGCATTGTAGACAGACAGTCTGCGCGTAATTAAGTCGGCAAAGTGAAAGACACACACACCGCCTACTAATATATGCATAAAAGACCATTATAAGGCGCCAATATGGATAGGCTAATCTACAAATAAATAAGTTATAAGTTAGTTTAAACAATTAAATGTGGTTACAGATCTTCATCCATAAATGCAGATTAGTATGTTAAGCATACACATGAACGCTACCCACATATCACATACATTGCGAACAAGGCAACCGCAACCGTTTGCCATGCACTATCATGCAGCACAATTTGCATCCATTAAATTACTCGTTGCCACTTCTTCCAGACGCATACTTAATTGGAGCTTTTTTAGATAAATCCGCAAGTTTTTGATCGGTTCTACCAACCTGAAGTCATCTGAACTTTTGGAAATATGTCCGCCTTTCGTTGGGCACTGCTTTCAATCATCGAAGTAGGCGTATCTCAGTAAATCACCCGACTGTGTAGAGATTCGCTATATCAATACAAAGTAAATAACATTGAAACAATAGCAAATGGCATTACTAAAGTTACTTTCAATGTCAAAAGGAATGCGCTCAAAACTAGCAAATGTGGGTATAAGACACTGCAGTATCTCTTATGCTTATTTTGTTCCTATCAGATAATTTGACTTTGTCTGGCTTTCGACCTGTTAAATCATCGTTATATGGGCATTAAGCCACTTGGTGCTTGAAGAAGAGCTTTATCAGCTCACCCACAAGGATTCACATTAAAATCATTGTCAAATTTTCAAACATACATTGAGGTGAAAGGGAAACTGGTGGACACAATGCCATTAACAGATCGTCTAATGGAACGATGAGTGCCATGTTTTGGTCCATCTTTACATTATCACGTCACGGAAGTTTCCCACCGTAACAATTTTGCTCTCTGGAGCACTTCGATTTCATAAGAAAGGATCCACTAGTCTACGGTCTCAAAGTCAGTTCATTCCGCAAGAACAGCTCAAATAATTTTGACAGGGAAGTAAGTGCCTCTTTATAGGTGGGAGTCAAAAGAATCTATCACAAAAAATATTACACGGTCAAATGTACCATCTCAATGTAATACATATTGGTTGTTTGAATCGTGCTTTGTGGGGATAGATGCAACTTTAATTCGGAAGCTGTACATATGAAGTGCAAAGACATTTTACAAGACTCGCTCGAATACCATTTCGGTATACATTTTCTCTTCTACTTGTACCTCCCTTGGGACGCCTAATAAATCACCCTCAACAATCCTTTCCTCACGAACCTGAAAATAAAGATATGGAGATCAAAATGGAAGTTGCTATACAGGAGGCAGCACCAACCGATATCCACCATTTCAGAGAAGACATGGACTTCAACTACCGGCCTCTATACGAAGTCACGAAGGGTTGCCCTGCCGCCTTGCACCTTACCTTATGACTTAAGCAGCGAGGCAACAAATACGGGGACTTCTCCTACATTAGACATTGCCGAAAGGGGAATCCCCTTAACATCGTTCTACCCATTAAGGGCACTTTGACAAATGACGCACCTGCGTATGAGACTAAAGAAAAAGCTACGCAAAATGCTTGGTGCGACATAAAAACAGCTGTAGAGAGGACACACTTGGTATAAAAAGTCTTACGACGGACAAGTTAAAACCACTGTTTACAAGGAAGGAGAGTTGTTCTAGGCATAAAAGCCGATTTCCCGCCAGGAACACATAGAAAGTTCTACCACTCCTAAAGCAAAATTTCCTGCAGTGTGTTGAAGATTCTCTTGTTCGCGAACAACCCGGTTAGAAACTCGGAAATCTGTATCGTCCAATGACAGTTCAGCATAACAAGCCTCGTCCCTAACAAAAGGAACCCACTATTGGGCTATAAACCTGAGATTTGAGCACTTGCAGAGGGAAAGAAACACCCTTTTCCTCGAACATTCCTCTTTCCAAGAAGGTTGAAACGAAAGCTGCCAAAAGCGCAAGAGGAAGACGCTACACTCAGTTAATAAATCTAATTGCATATGTTGCCATATTACTTGCTTTAATTTTTTAAACTTTAAAGCAGTATTCCGAAGCTGCGTTTTAAAAAAAATAAGTTGCACTGATGATGCCTCCGTGCATTTCCATTTTACTGTTTAGGTGGGTAGTTGAACAAATCTGCTCCCAGTAGTAACAATGCTTTGTTAATTCCACTGCCTATATGTGTGGCGACAGTATTGCTTGTCCCGGTTGGCCTGACCTTCGGGCTATGCTAATAGCCGCATCGCTGGCGGTTACTTTGGCATTCATCTTGTCCTTGTACGCTTGGACTGGTCTTCGGGCCAAGCTCAGACTTAATCCCTTTGCTCGCCCCAGAATATGCGCATTCAGCTCTACTTAATGCCTTCTTCTACTCGTTGGGGGAAGTTCCGGGACGCCACGCTGGTGACAGCGGAAAGCAAACCCGACCTCTATCACCACTTCCATCGTAGTAATGTATCGTTTGTTGCATGTACCTACGGCATGGAGTAAACAATTTCACATCGGGGGTTAAAGAATGAGGAAAATTACGTCTGCGCGTGTTTTTACTCTGTTTCCGTGTTCCGCAGACAAGCTACTAACAACTGGACATTACGGTTCTCCTTATATACGGACTGTGTCTGATCCCGTTTTCCCTGTAACAAATCTGTTTTTGACGAGAATTCCACCGTCTAGCCTTGGAAACAATTGATGTTCAACAGATGTATCGACCTCGAATCCGGCTGCCAGACCAAGCATAACACCGCATCCGGCCGAAGCTGCTAAGGAGTCCAAGTATCACCCCTCAATCTCATGGTAGCAGCTGACTGATATAGCTGGCTCTTGAGCGCTTCATTGCATTACCCAAGATGCTGTGATTGCTAGCGCGCGAGATGTGCCAAGGGGAGCGATGATGACGTCGCTCAACAGGAGAAAAGGGCAGTGTGATACTGTGTTTATGAAATATCTGATGTCAGGGCATTACCCTAAGGTTCGCCTAGCCCCAGTATGTGTGGCCCACCTTCGGTTCAAGCCCAGGCATAATCTCTTTACTCTCTCCAAAACACATGTATTAACCTCAACTTTATGCCTTGTTCTACCCGGTGGGAATCAAAAGACGATGCAAAACCAGGAACTAACGTAAGATATTTATGCGATTTAATGTTTGTATAAATTTTGTGAAGGGATCAAAACTTTCGAAATATCTTAACCTAATGAATAAAAATATAATTTTTTTAAAAATCAACACTTTTACATCTTCTGGTTATATTTACGTTAGAGAAAATAAGTTCCTGCAAGTGTTTAATCACGAATGCTTCGCAAATCATTCATAAACGATACTTTTAATGGGTAAAACGGCCAACTACCAGAGCAGGCGCGAGTTTTGATTCGCTTGTTACGTGTTTGTACGGATGGGTTCGTCACAGTTTCCTGTTAACATGCAATGGTAGTTTATCTGCTATGTTCATTGACGTCGTCTCTATTTTCAAATCTATCTTGATAAGTAATTGACAATGCGGGGCACTACTCACCGACCATAGCTCGTGGTTGTATTTTATAATTTGCTCTACTTAACTGGAACGGTGGGTGTTCCGGAACTTAAGTATGCTAAGCGACCAGTCCCTTTAAAAACTTTTGTAAACTTTGCCTATCTTACGCCATCTTAAGAGTCAGCGTTGGTAATAGCCTTCACTAATACCATTTACACATCCAGGTTTTGATGGAAGTGGCATACTTGGAAGGGATTAAGTTGGACGGCGGTTACATTAATTGCGCTCCCTATCCTGCCATTTTGCCTTCCTTCTTTGATTTGTGCCAATGGACTAATGTATCTTCAATGCATCGGTCCACCTGTTTTTAATTTTTTGTCTGTTAATGTTCTTCCAAGGTACTTAGGTACTGCATTGCTACTTCCCACAAATCCTTGGACATTTAAGAGATCTGAATCCTTGACTAAGCGGCACATTAATTGTTTTTCCTTCAAAAACTAAATGCTCACGTACTGTTCCGTATGCGGTGCGTGTGATGCAGTGTATGGTTCATTCAAATTGATACCCAGCATGGGACAGTTAAGCAGATCCTTAACATAGTTTTTATTCCAACGTTCATCAGTAAAGACACTGAAACCAACGAATCAACATTTGCGTTTAATTAATAGCCTTCAAAATGCAACAGGATGAAGCAGAGAGAGTGAAGACCACGGTAGTGAAACCGATTGTTTTTGGGAATATCTCCCGATACCTGGGTAAGAAACGTGAAGTTGATGGTCGCACTCACTTGTGGACGGCCTTCCTTCGTCCCCTCGATCCACGAGAGGATATGTCGGTTTACATTCGACGTGTCCAATTCAAACTACATGACAGCTACCCCAATCCCATCCGTATCTTCCACAGACCTCCATATGAGGTTACTGAGACCGGTTGGGGAGAGTTTGACATCGTTATCAAGGTAAGACATCCGAACCTTTTCCGAAACGTTTCTATAACCGTTGAAAATACCTTTTTGTTTAGGCTAACGATAGTCTTGTTGCGCACAACTTCCTCACAAGAATTATTCTTGCTCTTGTTTGATTCTTTCTATAGGTCACATTTGTCGATCAAAATGTAAAACCACTTGTTATCACCCATTTACTAAAATTGTTCCATTGCGATCACGATATCATGATGGGCCAAAAGAGTCTTGTCAGGGAGATCTACGACGAGATGATCTTTGTTGATCCACCGCCCACTTTTTACCGGACTCTGGTCAGCCCACCTCGAGGTGATTCCAGCAGGCTCCCTCCCTTCAACCACGAAACCGACTTCAATGAAGCTAAACAACAGGCACTGGCACGCATTGAGGACTTGAATAAAAAAGTTACAGACGCCATCACCGCATATCGAGAACAGTTGATCCTTAAAAAGGATATTGTTGAAGAAGCCAAGATTCTGGCTGACGAGATAGAGGCATCCTCTATGGGCTCTCTCAATTGATAGTGGAAATTTCGTACCTCTTTTAGAGCATTTATTTTTTACCAAGACCCTCAGAATTTCAATTGTGTTGTCTTTACATTTGAATCATTCTATTTTCCATATGTGGTTTTCTACTTCTGTTCCTTCGGCAAAGAATGAGTCGAGCACCATCTCGAAAGATTCCTGAAACCCTATATAACTTCAGCCTGTTTTTACTATTACAGTCGCCGGTCAGGCGGCTGACAACAATGGTACGCCTTTTGAGTCAATTCCCAATATCTCCATAATTATGATGATCAAACCACTGTGTCGAATTATTTCCACTGTTTCCTCCTTGTATAACAAGGTTCAAATCAGCACCATTTGAAGTATGCGCACTCGTAGTGAGGCAAGTGGAGGCGAATATGTATTAAGAGGGTTGCGAAAACTACGTGAAACAAGCGCAGGCTTTGGAAATTGTGAAGAGGAAGCTTTGGGTAAGGGCCATTACGTTCAAGTTCGAGGTGTCGGCAAGAATGGCCTGAAATGGAGTGGTATTATTGCTCTAGCACCTACTTCCACAGTATCCGGCTTTCTTGCCTTCATCAAGTCGCGGTTTCGATAGGAGAAAATTGCAGCAGCTAAAACTAAATGACATGGGATCGGCAAGATCAAAATATGGAAAATAAGTTGTAGTTGACGAGCCCCTAGATTTTATCCACTCACCAACCTATGAAGACAGGATGAGCACAGGGTTTAAAATACTCAATATGTTTATCTTAAGCAGATTTTGGCTCGCAGCAAAAGTATTGAACTGCTTTTAAATTCAAGTTCAACAAGTGAATTCCTGTACTAAGGTGTGAAATGATATGCTACACAGTTGTCAGATGTCATTTGAGTGGTGTAACTACTTTTATCATCACGAAAGTTTTTTTTACTCCGGACGTCTATCAGAATTAGTGGGGTTAATGCTCACTTTGGTGTTACAAAGCGTGGTATTTCACATTAGGTTAGCAAAGTGGCCCTCACTTGGAATAATTTCAAGTGAGTCCCAGGCTAGAATACGGTCCCAAAGAAGAAGAACTTGGTCGGCTGGTAGATACCCACTGAATCCACTCAGTAACCACCGGAAGGCTATTTGAAGGCTAAAAAAAGACGAAATGTTATACATAACGGCCTACGGTGGAGCTCCGATTGACGCTAAATGCAGAACTAGCTGAGGCTCTTTTTTAAGGAGAATCCTTTCAAAGGTTACACACAGTGAAAGAATGCTCTAGAGGCGCAAATGTGTGAAACAGAGTCACGACTTACCTCCACGTTATCATTGATTGTGTGAAGTTTGTGAAAGTATCTAACGTAGAGCTCACGGAAGACAATGTACAGCTCAACGGGGTCATCATAGAGATAGCACAGAGGCGAAACTACAAGTTTGATCGTTCAAAAGTATTATTAACGGCAGGGGGTGAATCAACAACTCCCACCTCATCTTTAAAGGGGGAACTATCTTCAGTTCATCATTAGGCAAGATGTGGAAGACTAACCTCTTACATATTTATAAGCACGGTTAAAATTAGTTTAAACATTCTGTCCTCAGATCAAATCCATCCTCCAGCTAAAGTGTCGAAGTTGAAATAAAGTGAGCGGTGCTTAGAGAATGGACCGAAGTTATTTCCAAGTTGATTTGGGAGACAGCTTGATTTAGCTGACTACGAGGTGATCCACACACTACAAATAACCGGCTAATATTAAGTTCATCAATGCTCGAAATAACTTTAAACCTCTGCGAAATGGTAAATAAAGCCCTCGATAATGCGTAGAGTACGAGCTTTGGGTGAAAAGTTGGAAGCAGCCCGCACCATACATAGAGAAGCCGTGAAATGGGACAACTCCAGATGGAGGGATATGGATTGGGCACAGCATCTGGTCATGTCCAGCGAAGATAAGTTCCTCGAACGATTTGCTCTTGCACCGAAAAACAACAGGGTCTCTCAAGAAAGGCAACAGAATCTAAGGAAGAAAAGTTAATCATAAATATTTGGAGAATCTCATATATTTACACAATCACGCAACTATTTTAACCCAACTATGAGAGCAAATGACAGTGAGAGCAGAAATGATTTGATGCAAACGGAGCTTTTCAAAGTACAATTAGACAAGAATAAATTCGTTGTTCGCAAAATTTTGCCTACCTTATAAATATAATCAACAAAAACGAAGTACATATCGTCATTGGAAACAACCGTTTTTATTTCTTTGTGAATCAGATTATCCATAAGCAAGCTGCATTGTGAGACCTTGCGTTTTAGCTCCAAATAGTGCAGTTTATCCTGAAACACATGATACCAATTATGCATACGTTAGGATAAAAGTGACATCTCAAGAATGGAGAATGAGAAAAACAACTAATATCGTCGCTTTAGCATATGAATAAATGAGAAGGATTTCCACTCCTGAATTGCATCTGGTGCTAAACAACCTTTCAGGCAAAATAAGGACAACGTCCATTTAACTCATAAGGAATCATAGAAAAGACTAGAGCTTCGGGTTAAAGTATCGTACTTCGTCTGAGACATTTATGCTAAGACACTGCAGCCATATTTTCGGACGAAACTCAAGTGGACAACCTTTTTCCAGATATTTTCGTGCTTCGACAGAAGGTAGCTTCATAACTAAACGTTTAAATAGATTATTAACTCGAAACCTTCCGAAGCTGCTTCTTTACGTTCTTGCATGAACAAACTCCCATGTGGTGCTAGATCATCCACACCGACTTGAGGAACCGACGCATGAAGTGCAATATATTTTGTTTGCTAAAGGCTGCTTAACAAAAGGAACCATACCATTTGGTGGAGAGACCTTGTGGATATTGGTAAAGTGGAAAGAGATCTAGAATAGTCAGAGTGCATAAGTTCGCGTAACCTTGATGTGTTTTTGTCTCTTATCGTTCTATTATAATTTAGTACAATTGATTGGAGCACCATCAGGAGGTCATGTGGTTCCAAAAGTGGTTTACTAGGAACGCTTGCTAAAAATATTTAAATAAAGGTCGATGTACGTTTAAAAAAAGACGATAGTTCATCCCAGTTATCCAGAATAAGCTCGCGTGTCTTCGTTTGTCGCTATAGCTCAGAAAAGACTAGCTTATGCTTACATCATAATATGGCATTGAGTCCTGATAGACCACTTGGAAGTATCTACTAATTTTTCTCAGGAGAAGCCTCTACGAAGGAAGTCAAACTGGTAATCAATGTACATGGGCCTCAACCAACAAGTGTTGAACCTTATTTCCGGAGGAGTTGGCCAAAGAACACATCACCGCAGACTCACAAGAAGTAGCTTTAAAATGAATTTCATGTCAAATTGTAAAGGCATCTACTTGTAGTCCCATTAGTAACAGCATTTTTTATATCGCTGGCTCTTGGTAGTTCGATGCATTCCAGATGAACAAATGCACTGGGCATATTGCCGTCTTCACCCTACGATATTTTTCCAGGCAAAATTGACTTTACTTCCATTGAAACATTAGGATTTGACATTATAGAGCAGTACCACCAAATTTGATCATTCCACACAAGTTATTGCGCGCGTTAAATATAGCCACTGAACACTGGAAGAAATAGCATCATTGTGCACGTATGATATGATTCTGGAGAATGCATTATGTATAAGCCTTAAGCATTTTGACTAAACTCTCAAAATCATGAATTATGCTCAAGTAGCGGCAATGGACTGCTTGCTTACCGGAGAATTATTTTAAGTAAAATTTCTGCATAGTTCGTGTAGCGAGTTTGGACTCTTCTATTTAAGATTTTTAGAAGAGAAGGGTGGAATATTAGGCATCCATAGGCATATAATGAGTGAAAAGAGTATAGGAGGCGAAGTTCACTTGGTGGCAGAAAGCATCTCCTCAAAGCCCTCTAGCGCGGCGTTCGAACCATATTCCCGCCTTCTTCCTACAAAGAACAGTTTAAACGGCCAATACGTGCTACGTTATGGGACTCGCATTGCTGCATACTGTGGGTAAAGCACGTAGAAACATCTAGGGATAAAATACTGCGAATTTTCAGCTGTTCGTAAATTTAGTACTGCAGGGAAGACTTTACATCTTTAATGCATCAGTCGGTTTCCTAGTATAACACTGTGTAAATTTGGCGCATTGCAATGAAGCGCGCAGCGTGATTTAAATGCTAATGTATCCTACGGAAACTGTAGCATTCCGAGGCTCTTATGAAACTCAAGTAGTTGTAAAACCAAAGTGGAGAGCTCTTACCATGGTATGGAAAACATGCTAACATGTACTAGCTACATTGGAGTAGGTCGATTAAGTAATTCGTGTATTGTGGCCTACAAGTGTAAAGTGTGTGGCGCTTTTCCACCTCGCGATTTTGGTTAGGGATACTTAAGTTCCTGTCGTACATTTTGTGCTGCCTGAGACTTCTCACTAGGTAGAAGAAAGCGTTAAGATGGGCTGAATACATGCATTCTATGAGGGTAAGAATCGGTTGAGCCTTGGTATGGCCCGAAGGCCAGCCCATGAGTACAAGAGCAAGACGAATTCCGAAGTCACCGCCAGACATCTGGTGGTCACATAAACAAAGCATTACACTTTTGTCGTACAGACAACCTCTAAGTCGTGCCAGCAGCCTCAAATCACTCTATTAACCCAATAGTGTGGTATTTGTCCTTGCGACTTCATGAAAGTCTCGGGACAATGCTACTATCATACGCATGAACTCTCGATGCTTAATAGACTTTTCTGGAAAATGAGCCAGTAAATGCATTTATCTGGATTTATATTTTGGGATGCCAAACTTTTGATAAAAGTACTGGCATTTTTTTAAACCTATTAGTTTTGTGTGCTATTTTTCTACCCTCCTAATTTGAAAATGTAATGCAAAAGGAGGCGTCGAAGAGCTGTGACAGTGTGCTGATGCGAAACAGTCTATCAGTAAGATGTGGTATGTAAACAACCCTGGTCACCTCAGACTTAGGATTTTCAAGTTAATCACAGCCATACGAGTGAATATTTGCTTTGAACATAACTAAAAATAGTGGGTGTAAAGCCTCTTCTATACAAAATTCACTATTCTATTTCAGCTTGTAAACCTAACAATAAAGCCAACACGATTTGCCGACCCGTTGGTCGAAGATGAATGACGTGCTGCATCAACCTCACTGACACTAAGCTTCAGGCACGCAACTCACTTTTGCGGACTTTGGCAGTACTTTGGATGCATTTTTGAGTGCCTTTGGAAGAGCACCAATAGATCAAAAATAAAAATTGAAACTACCCTTTGCAATTACGGTGTGTCTCTCACTGCTCCCCACCATAGAAAATCTGACAATAGTACTTTTGATATCTTTTCTCACTGAACTTCGAGTAAAATGTCTGCCGCCTGTTTGCGAGAAGCGACGGAAAACGTGATGACTCTTAATGGACTTGCAACGACGGATGCACTTTTGCCTTCAAGTTAAGACGAATGCTTGTTAGTACCGGAAAACATGCCGCAACTGTAGTAACTCGAGTTTCCCAAAGTCGTAGGAAGCAACGGTAGTGTGGTAGAAAAGTATTCTCTGAGCCTAAAGCAAAACAAACGGCTAGGAATGCAATCTGGGGAGACTTGGACGACTTCATAATCAACAAACCAGCAATAATTTTCACAAACGGTTGTTAATCAATGCTTATATGTGGATGCTTAAAGAATATGCATTTTACGGTGGAGGGAATTTAGCTGATACTCTCACCATTAACTGCTACAATATGGACAGGATGCCAATACAAAAAACTATTTAATGTGTATTAGTGTCTCCATTTAAATTTACTACCGTTACAATTTTAGTGCTGCTCGCAAGTCACTAGCGAAACAATCACTGAATGGCTTCGAAGGGCACAGAATACTCCATTTCCACCTCTATTTACAGTTTTTAAGGTGGTTATGTTTCTAATCTTAGTAAAGATTTCTTTATTCTATTTAATAGACAATCGCAGGTTTGCACTTTTGCCCCTGCTGTCCTTTTGAAGAGCACTTATTACTTTGAGATCTGCTTGTCTTAAAGTCGCGAGAAACATGTCATTTAAGTTTGAGGTGCTGATTACTTCCGGGGTCCTAGATTTGAGCACAAAGCACAGAAATAGACACATCCACCTTGGTGAAGTATCCAAACTAACTAAAAGTCTACTACTTGGCCACTCTCGGCCTAGTCGCTAAACTAACTCACTAACCCTGCAGCTTGAATAGCATGGCAACACAGGGCAGAGGTTTCGCCTTCAACCCCGATTGAGGCTACTTAGAGTTGACACTTTGACGGCTACTTTGCCAATCCATAATCCCTCTCCCCCTTTCTGCAGACTTTTGTTCCTTAATGCCAGAGGCAGCATAATTTTGCCAAGCCAACTGTTTCGCTTAAACACTTTGACAGTATCACAAAATTGCCCTAATTTTAGGCCTTTGACGGATTTGATTTGAGAGGGTGCACTTACTCATACAAAGTGATGCCTTTTAAAGGAACTGTCATGCCCCGAAATGGTAGACAAAAATATTACTATTTACAACATTGACCAGTTCGCTTACTTGCACCAAAGTTTGGCACGGAAGTGTCGGCGCAACCAGCACTGCCAATTGAATAGGCCCTGTTTACTGAGACCATGTGTGACAAAACAGGATTCCATGGCGGCTATAAAGGTAATCCTCATAATAAATTATCTGAATTCAGATGTATTCGTTTCGTGTAGCCGATCTACTGGCATGAAATAGTTTAACAATAATTTCATCGAAATGTGTAAGCACTAAAGAGGCGAGTTAAGGTTGTTCACGGACGTATTTATTTAACGAGTAATGTAAGGTTCCAGACTGGGTCTAAGTTGAAATAATGCGCCTCTCAATGCACAAGTTTTGTCTCAACTGAAAAGACAAAGTTATCACGACTCTTGAGCTCAAGCGCAGCTCTGGCCCACCAGAGGCATCAGATCTCTGTAGAAATGAAGGAAAACAGCTTTATAAGCTGCGCAAGAATTTTTTATTTACCTTTAATGTTATCTCCGCTAAGTGCATCTTTGAGACCAATTTAGACGTAATCGCCAAAGTTGTGCATGCACTGAATTCTTTAAACGCCTTTACGATGAATCACTTTCTAGCGTCATTTTTCATTTATGCGATAACTCTCCCGGAAGGGAGTTGTAGCTCGTCAAGTAACGTCTTAATCTCAACGCTGTCAGTTTCGTTTCATGACATGGCCAGTGGTGTTGGCCTTGGTAAGTCCCAATTCAAACATTTGACAGTTTTATTGAGCAATCTTTGGAAAGGATCGGTATTTCGTAGAGTCTGTGGCAAATCGATGATGAATCCGTAAACTTTAGTCTAAAAGGCTTAGTAAACATATTGTCCATGAACGCTAAGTAGTTGGTTTGACTTCCCAAATGTATTTTTGTGCCTGCCCTTAGCGGTTTTGTTACATTTTACTGTAAATGTCGCTATTAATTACAGCACTTCTTTTGAGAGAATCTTTTCTCCCAAATGCGGAAGCAGTTCTACAGGTTTGAAATCAGTATTTGCGTTCATTTTTCGGCACTTCATGATGGGTTCTGTGTCACAGGTCGGGGTGATCAAACTCATGTTGCTTGGTGCACAAGAGTTTTCAATCACTAGTGCAGTGCAATCACCGCTTGC